TCCTGGCTGGGCGTGTCAGCAGGCCTAATCACGTCGAATCGCTTTCTTGTCATGGAACCCTGCTCTCATCTGGGATGGCAATTTCCGGTTTTTTTCCTGTCTCGAAATTTGGATGCGGTGTCGAGCCATACTTGCATGCTTGCACTCACATTAGGTTAGGTAGTCTTCGTACACTCGACGACAAAAGTCACGGCGGAAGCAGCCCTGGTTGGTCCTCGAAGACCTCGTGCCTGGTCGTAGTAAGGGAAGAGTTCGGTGAGGTATGAAGTATACCCACGTGCCACAGGCCCAAGAATACCGGATGGCAGAGGTTTGTTTAGATCGACACGGTGTTACATCACAAGCGGGAAGCCGATGCTCTTCCAGCTCATGTATTATGCATTATTAAGTAAGGTGATCTGGCTTCGATACTATCTGGTGGTCCGTTTGTTTAACATGGTAACCCATATCCCTTCATGAAGTCCGCCGTGGTTTCAAAATTCGAAGCTCGTCTGTTGCGTCCTCCCAAAGTAGCCCAGGGGACGGATTCCAAAATTTGTAGGCAATCTCGTCTGAACGCCCGTGAAACTGGCGTGCGAATCTTCTTAGAAGCACATCCACCGGCTGCCACCAGTCACAGCGGAGTTTGATGCTTCGAAGCCTCCCAGATGAATCATGAGCAAGGATTGCCCGGCGCGGCTGCTCCGGTTCCTGCCTAAAGAATCGCTCCCGCGCTGGTTTCTTGATGCCGATCTGCGTCAGCCGTTTGTCTATGATTTTCCGCCGCTGTTCCACCAGGTATGAGTATCTGTTCTCCCACGCCTTGTCGTTCCACGTGGGGATGCCCCGGTGACATGTCCTCAACTGGGGGTAGCCAGGCAGGCCGACGATATTGAGATCGACTGCCTTTTTGTGATTCTCTCTCCAGGCACTCAGGCCATCGTCGGAGTGGTTGATTTTCCTCTCGAACGGTACAATCAATTCATCGAACCTTCTGAGCGTCCTCAAAGCTATATCTACAGTCGTACCGGTTTCTATAGGCAGGCCTCCGAATTCGCGGAATAACATTGTAAATCTGGTGTCTTCTTCATCCCATGGAAATGGTGGCACGTTAGATGGGATGCCGGGCTCATGTACTTCTTCTTGCTTGATAAAGTCCATGATTGAAAGTTGGTAGGACCAGGAAAGCGATATTGACGGTGGTTATGAGCAATAGCAAGGCTGGAAAGTGAAGATTTGGCGGGAATCGTCTTGGATAGCTGAGAGGAGATGATGTCGATGCTGTGCTTTGAATGTCTTTCATTTTGTCAATCGGCATTATAATGCTAGTTGAATAAAATCATTCTCAGCTCGAAGCGAGATTCTCTCGTTTTTAGTGAATGGATTGCGAATAGGCAGGTGCGAGCCTCTACGCAGGCAGGAACAATGGGGGTTTGTCTCTGCCTGACTACCTTCGATGCCTAAATCGGCGCTGGCCTTGAAGTGGCCGACGGCCAACAGGGTCCGTGTCAATAATGAGATCATCGTAACAATATGAGGTTACAAAATACTCATTCACTGCACTTATCTCGTATATTTTTGTGGTTACATGTTATATTCGCCATTGGACTCATGCAAGGAGTAACTTCAACGAATCCCAGGTTCTATCGTCTCATGCTGATACTATGAACTAAAGATTGCGGGGAGAAACATCTCGCGATCGAGAGAATAACCCAGGAGGCGGAACCAGATAGAATGGAGGACAATTACCTACGAGCAGGTACCTAGGTAGGTTGTTCTCAACATGAGTATTTAGGGTAGGTACTTGAAAGCTCACTCGCAAGTGGCAGCAAAATGTCAGCGTGATACTAGGAAGGAAGACACAGAAAAAATTATTTTGAAATATTGATAATACTATAGCGACCCACAGTTAATAATTCTCATATCTCATATTATTGATAACGTTATTGTTTTGTTCTATATAGTCATACAGAGGGTATCACGACGTCATATCTCACTCTCCAATAATCGCAAGCATGAGTCGTTGATAGTCCCCAGAAGTCTCCCCCTTGACCCGACTAGCAAGACTTCTGCGATAGCGTTGCTGGTATGCTGCCTTGGTGTTGGCCAGGAAGTTTCTGTCCCAATGGAAGCGAACAAGGCGAGACACAAGCAGATGGTCCTTGGTTCCCATGCCGGCCATGGATTCTTCTAGCAACGTAGCGGCGTGCATGTACTTGTCCACCGCGTAGCGAAGTTGGTGGAGTAGGGCGTCTTTCATATGGCCCGAGAATTCCTGCTGAGAAGGTTAGAATATGTGGTTAATTCCATGGGACCGGGAGGGTCAACTCACGCTCTTGATGACATCATCCAAGTCCTTCCTGAACCTCTGCTTATATGAGTGCGCAATGGCTCTGATCTGGTCATTGTTCCTCGAGCTGAGGATGCTGCAGACCAAGAGCTCGTCTGTGCCCATCTTTCCTTCGGTTGCCTTGTAAAGCTGCAAAACATCGTCCTCCACTTGTTGCTGGTTCACAGGTGCCGAGTCCTCCGCCCGGTTCGCGGCCAAGACCATGACGAAATGTCTCTCCGTCTTCATACTCAGATCGCCCTTGACGACGTCTTCGAGGCTTCGGTTGAATGTTTTGTAGTAGGCACTCTTAATAGCCTTCATATCGGCATTCGACCGGGACAGGAGGACATCATTGAGGATGATTTCTTTTGTTCCTGGTCCATCCATAGCATCGTGTAGAAGGTAGACATCGGCCAGCAAGGGGCCTCGGCCCAATTGCAGCAAGCCCTGTTGAAGCCATCCACTTGTTTCGCCCTTCATGTCTTGCACCAGGTTTCGGCCAAAGTCGCGCTCGAAGGCGGAGCGAATGTACTCGATTTGATGCGGGTCCTTATCGCACAAGACCCGGATGAGTGTCTTCTCGTCCGTTCCGAATCCCTTCATCGCGGCACGAAGTGACTTGGCGTCAGCTCCGCCGTCCCATTGGATAATCTGGGGAGGACCATAGCCCGGTGATGGCGGCGTCGGAGGGACAGCTGCGGCGCCATATGGTGCTCCCGGGCGTCCTCCCGGTGGTGCACCTTGCGGCGCGCCGTAGTGACCACTGGGAGCTGGGGAATGGCCATATTGTTGCGGTGGGGGACCTGAAGGTGCACCGTATGGTCCAGGAGGGGCACCATATTGCTGTGGGGGAGGTTGGCCGTATGGTGGCTGGTGGTAGCCTTGAGGAGGATACTGGCCTTGATTTTGCGGAGGATATTGGCCTTGGCCTTGTGGAGGGTAGTAGCCCTGCGGCGAAGGCGCGTGAGGCGGCTGCTGATAGTAGCCACCCTGTTGCTGGGGAGGATACTGGGGGGGATACTGGCCATGAGGAGGTGGGTAGTGGCCTTGGGGAGGTGGTGGCTGCCCATAGCCCTGAGGAGGGGGAGGTTCTATGATATAAGACCAGTCAGCCACATGAGCTCTGGATTGTTGATCAGTATCCGGGAGGGGTAGCAACTTACGGCCGTACGGCGGCTGGCCGTATCCGTGGTAAGACATGACTTAATCGATACTAGTAGTGATTGCGTAGCGAGAGGATACTTTGTATAGGATTGACTGATTTCACTCAGCAAGCTTGAGAGGTGTTGCTCTGGGCGCGGAACTGGCTCGGCAGGAGCAAAACCTCGGGCTGGCAGATGCGAACCATCGACTAAATATTTAGGTGGGCAGTGGGCTGTGCGATGTTTGGGACGCGTGATCAGTGGCGGGGTGCGCCTAATCGGACATAGACGTCATCCAAACCGGTGCGTGGCGGTGCGCCTAATGGGTTGGGCGGTGCTTGGTAGCAATTCTATGCACGCGAAATTGGCCACACAGACATTTCCTGGCGATTGGCTGTGTCGGATTCATTGCCAGGTGGACGGCGGTATCATGACTAGATATTTTGCCTGTTTATCTGGATGGGCAGGGATCGAACTGGCTTGACAGATGCCACCTGATGATGCTCTCTCCTGGCTGAGGGTGGACGCGTTAGTTCTAGCCCGCCTAACACCTAGGAGTGGGATAGGCTGGTCGAGGTGCCTCTAATAATAATCATGTGAATTCGGAGACTACTACTGAGGTGCTTCTGCTAGTGCCCGTCCTTAACAGCATCAAGGTTGTGTCGCGATGGAGCTGTCTATGCAAAAAACGATACAGACAAATCGCGTCCGAACACCCGGCGCTGATCGGACCGCCCCGCATTTCAGAAAGATTGATCATGACGCTTGGTCCAGGCAGTCAGCCTTACTGGGTGCGGCTTCCAGCTCAAGGCCTGTCCGTCTTCCGCCATCAGATACCTACCTGCTAGGAGGCATACCACTCCCAGCGTAGATGGTATGTGACATGCATCGCTGCCGCCCACCTTATCAGCAGTGAATTGGACTTGCCATGGATCTGATGCACAGGAATTGATGTCCTGCAGAAGCTTGTGGGGCGCAGATGGTGCCTGTTTTCGTGGGCTTTGCAATCTAGACTTTTAGGGGTCGTGGCATGGAAGCTTTTGAAGGTGGCTGGTGAAATGGCCCCATCAAAGCCACCCATCAAATGCGTAGACCTTGGGCTGGGTCAGGCACCTGCTGCTGCTGAATGTGCTAGGGTCGGGCCCCCTTGCACAGTGGATACTCAGGCACCTCTGGTGGTGCAGGCACTAACCCCTGGCGCTGTCCAATGGACGCGACACCCGGGAGCTTAATTTTATCCACCCAACCACCACATATTCGCCCGTCTCAGTGGCACCAGCCTCCAGCATTTTGGTGTATTGAAAATGGCCTGCATCTGCACGCTCCCGCAGTGGAAGGGTTCTTCTCTCTGCGTACATCTACTGGCTGAAACTCATAACGATCACCAATACTGTTCGTTTCATTTTGCTGATCATTTTATGTGCATGATTTATTTTTCGGCTGAGGTTTTGCATTTCAATTGCTGACGGTGGCTTGAGACGGACGGGGCGTCTTGCTCTACCTTACTTACACACACCCTCGCGCCAACGAGCCTGAGAACCTTCAAGATGTATGCCTCAACTCGACGCCTCCTTGCACTCTCAGCTCTGCTTCCTACGATAGCTGGGCTTCCATATCGAGCACTGCAGCCTCGTGCGGCTCTTACTGCCGACAAACCCAAGTATTCAGTTGTTCCTCTCATCCCCGATGAGAATGACAACCACAACGGCGGTGGAAATGGAAATGGAAATGGAGGGGACAATCCCAGCAATGGCGTTGTGACAGTCTCCCTAACAGTCACCAAGTCCGGTGACACTGTCACACAGACTGCCGAGCCCACCACAGTCACACAGGTTGTTCCGACCACCATTATTTCCGTCATCGACCTTGACGACGATGTCACAACAACTGTGTATGTGGTACCCTCAGTGGCGCCACCGGCTCCTTCTGTAGAGCCCACCACAACTTCATCAACAACTTCATCTACATCTACCTCCTCATCTACCAGCTCATCAACGTCCACGGAAGCCAGCTCCATCTCGGATGTTTCCACAGTCACCGAATCACTCGCCACAAGCACAACCTCCACTTCAACCAGTGTGCCGCAGCCTGATCCCACCTCTACAGAGGTTGCGGCACCCAGCGTTCCACAGACTACCACCGCAATTTCCACCTCTACGGCGGTTCCCACACTACCCAGCAGTTCTCTGCCCACTGCCACTGTGTCTTACCCCCCAGTGGTAACTCCCACCACATCAGCAGTTACCACACCGGCAACGACCAGTACCGTGCCTTCATCGGTCCCGCCCAATGATGGGCTTTGGCAGACCACATACCCCCCCTGGAACGGCACAGTGACCAACTGGAACTAGGGAAGCCAGCGATGGAAACGCAAGCAGACCAACTATCTAAACTAATTACGGAGTGGACGACGTACAGAAGACTACTGTTGATGACGGGAAAGGGAAACGATCGCAGAATGAGACACGCGCGTGTATTTTTATGCCGGATGACTGGGCTGGGTATCTTTTTATTTTTTCTTGTGTGACAGGTCAGGTTTGGGTAAACTGGGACGGAGTTGGTGGATCTAATTTGGGATAGAGCCTTAGGCTTTTGGCTCGGATGGGAATAACGGGATGGGAAAGTCCGTCAGGCTGGATTACGGGTTTATTAGTGTAACAACTACCGGCGTATCTACTCGCTGGTCAGCATATATAGATGTTTTAAAGTATATCATTATGAATATTGCGCATGCTGAACCAAGTTTGAAGTGAGAAATGTCTGCGATAACTCCCTACTTAAGTACTAAAGCATCTATCTAGCAAGGCATCTTTGAACGTAGCCGAGTAATGTGGACGATTGCTGAAAAGTGCCGTAGTGGAGGCGGACGGCGACATGTAGAACGAACATCTACAGTTGAGAGATCCATTCTGCTCACCCCTGCGGGTAAATAAGGCGCCGCCATCTATATTTCTTATTCGAGATACTTAGCGTGAAACCGATACTCTTCTCATATTGTTCACACTTGTTGCCTGAAGAATAATGTAGAGATCCGCGCCGGCCGCAACCGTGAGCCGTTGAAGGTTGTGGCTTGCGACTAGACGAACAATACTAAGAGCGGCTCAACATTGCGGACCGACAATACGAAGATGGCACTCATTTCCTCTCTCCTAACTCCGATATAATGTTCACATAAATATCTGAGTTGATCTTCTTGCATACTTTCTTCTTCTTCTTCTTTTTCATTCCTCTGTCTATATAATTTCTTCTTCACGGGAACACTCATCGCTGGCGACGAAAAAAAGCGTTCTATAATAATTGAAATACTGCCCAGTCCATTTTCCATCATAGTAAGTTCAGTTTCTTTATGATCTCGCCGGATTCGAAGACTCCTGGAGACGGCTTTCATGCTAACACTAGAGCTACACAGACACCTACCTACCACTCTTCCCTAGCCGCCGTTAACAGAACGACCCTCACCATGGACAGTTCGCTCAGCTCAGCCCTCCGGCCTTTTCTCTCCGGGGACCTTGGTTCCGAAACAAAAATCACCATCACCGAGCTGGATGCGACCACCTTCTACAACCCATCCCTCTTCATCGTCGTCTTTGCCGGCTTCCTTCTACTCCTGCTTCTGGCCTTCATCGTCTTTGCCTTCTGCACGGAGAGGGATCGCCGCATGAAGTGGCTCAAGGCTGCCGAGGCCCGGGCCAAATGGGGCGTCTAGGTCCTTTATAGGCGTCTATCAACCGGTTGTTCTGTCCTGCAGACCAACTTCTACAATATGCACATCGGCTGCACATAATCGGAGTTCGAGTGGAAGACTTTGGTTCTACAAAGCATTCAATACATCATAGACTAGGGATAGAAGGGGGTATTGAGATTTCCTAATTCAACTTTTTATCTTGCCACATGTGATTCCCATGCGTGAACCATGCCACGATGACGGCAGACGCCCACTTCAAGGCACTGCTGGTGTGATTGCGTTGCGGACACGGCACTTGCTCATGCACGCAACACCCAATCTCATGATGCGTCCCCGATCTCTCCTTAGATTCACCGATTCAGGTCTCACGATGTCTGCGCACTTCTCCTCTTCGGTTGCTCCAATGAGACACATCCACGTCCAATCGACCCACCACTGGGCACCAATCCATTCACTTGCACACAGACACATCCCCAGCGGTGATTCAGATGTGGAAGAAATATAATCTCCCAGGAAACCAGAGAAGGAGATATCAGACAGATAAACGATATAAAGAAGAGCAAAAAAAGGAAATAATATATCTCGGTGCTCTATCATCCCACTTGGCATCGGTGAGTGTGTCCAGACCCGGGGATTCAAGTTTCGCCAAGTCTACACCGCTACCCTGCCGGACTCCCTCGCCCAGAACAATAATTCTACAAGCATTTTGTGGCGTTTACTGACAAATCCAATACGTGCTAATGTTTATAGGAACGTAAACGAAACTGAGCAGCCAAAAGAGACAAAACCCAAATCATGAGGGTTCTTCACGGATATGGGCAGCCGGGCCCTGGAGCTCTCATACTGATACTGCCGCAGCTGGGCCTGCAAGTCCGTGCCGGCCCTGTCGGCCCCGAGGGCATGGAACTGGTAACCACGGCAGAGCGCCGTGCTGAGACCGAAGGAGCCGACTGCTCTCCCGAAGGACAGTGGAACTGCATGCCCCGGACCTGGCAGCGGTGTGCGGATGGGAAATGGTCCCAGGTCATGAATCTCTCAGACGGGACCATCTGCACGCCCGCTGGGTTAACCGAGGAGATCACCATCGAGCACGATGGCTCGGTGAACGGCACTGATGGAGGTAGCAGCCGTAGGACCAGCGACGCCACGCGCAACTCCGTCAGCAGGCTTCTGGTACTATGGGTATTAGCGATGCTGATCCAGTGGGGATGGAGCTGAGGCTGGCCCAGGAGGAGTCTTTAGATGGAAGGATGTAGGGCCAAGGATCAAAGGAATGCTTCTACGTCTGCGAGGAATCGATAGCCGGGGGTGTTTGAAGTAAACCAACCCATAGTGAGTCGGATTGGGGGCGCCGTGATGATATTCATGGCGGTGGCCTCGATCCGCGAATGCCACCTGGTTGGTGGAAATTTCGAACCCTGTAGAGGATTAATCAAGTAGTGAAAATCAAACAATTCATGCGTTCTCGTGCTCAGGGGGGTTGAGATGACCCAACTTCAAGCACGCGATGCCTGTGAGGATCACGGGCAGAGATTGGGGGCAAGAACTTCGAAACGTCCCATCATTGATCGAGCCGAGTTCCAATTGGGCGCTGTTCTCCCGAGAATGCCCACCCTTTGTCCCTGCCAAGTTGTCACTGACAGATCCGTTGCAATGTCCAGTTTGTTTCAGGTTTCGGCTCGACAACCCAATTGAGCTGGGCCCATCGTATTGGGGGAAAGCCGGTCTTGATGTGATAAGCCGCCCTTCACCTCTGCCTTAGTTCAGAAACAGAAACACGGAACCATAGAAAGCGTCCGAATCAGGTAACGTGGGGTTCGGCTTCGGCTGTCAAGGCGAAAACTGCCGTTGTCGTTTTATATCGGTGGATAGTAACCAGGTCAAGCATGGGCGTTCCGGCGAGATTCAGGGGATTCGCCAAGGCATGCAGAACTGACGAAATGGCATCCAGCTCTCGAGCTTATTTCTCGTGCCAGGGGAGACGCAATGGGACGAGATATATGATATTGAGAGCAGCCGCATGTAATCTGAAACTTGAAGGTTGAGAATCCAGCTTCTTGGGTTTTCTTTCGTTTACTCTGCTTCCCCGTCTCGTCTGCCCGGCAGTCGTTTCCGTTCGCTTCTTTGCTGTGCGATGGTTCAATTCAAGTACATTGGGGCGCTGTTCCTGGCGTGCGCTGCCCCAGCTCTAGCAGCATTTGGTGTTACAGAGAGCACTTCAAGCTACGTTGCGGACTCTGGAAGTTCCGATGGCCTCGTTGTGACTATCAGCCGAACCGATGGTTCTATCACATCGATCAAGTACAGAAGCACCGAGCTCCAGTACAAGTCCAAGAGCTCACACATTGCGTCTGGCCTGGGCTCGGCCACTGTATCCTACAAGATTGTTGATAGTGAGTCTTCAAAAGGTGTCTCCAACACGAGAAGTGGCTAACCCAGACAATTTAGGCAAGTACATTATCGTATCCGCGGCTGCGAATAATGCCGATTTCAAATTGACCCATTATTATGTCTTTACCTCGGGTTCCAGTGCCATCCAAATGGCCACTGACACCACCTCTGAGCCAGCAATCGGTGAGCTTCGTTACATTGCTCGCCTGAACCCCTCGGTCTTGCCAGATGAGTTTCCCTTTGGCGATGTGTCCAATACAGCGAGCGGTACAGCGATCGAGGGTTCCGATGTATACCTCATCAATGGCCAAACGCGTTCCAAGTTCTACTCCTCGCAGCGTTTCATCGACAATGGGGTGTACGGCTTCGCAAGCAGCTCGGGGGATATGCACGCTAGCATTGTCGCGCACGCCTCCCGATCCTACGAGAAGAGTTCTGGAGGACCTTTCTTCCGTGACATCAACACAAACCAAGCTGGTGATGCGGGCTCCTTGACCTTTTACATGAACTCGAACCATGCGCAGACGGAAGCCTACCGACAGGGATTCCACGGCCCCTATGCTCTCGTCTTCAGTCGATCAGGGATCCCGAAGCAGTCCGAGATCGACTTCAGCTTCTGGGCAAACCTAGGTATCTCAGGTTACATTGCGGATTCGGCCCGTGGTGTTGTTAGCGGCAGTGCAAGCGGCACGGCTTCCTCCTTGAAGACGGTTGTCCACTGGACGAATGCGGACTACCAGTACTGGGCATATGCAGGTACGTCTGGTAGCTTCAAATCACCCGCCATGGTCCCCGGAACCTATACGCAGATCCTCTACCAAGGTGAGCTTAAGGTCGCCTCGCAACAAGTCAAGGTCACTGCCGGGGGCACAACAACCTCGAACATTGCTGCGACCTCGGACATTGTGACGGCGAAACGCACTACCCTCTTCCAGATTGGCGATTGGGATGGTCAACCCACTGGATTCCTCAACGCTGCTGAGCAGCTGAGGATGCACCCCAGTGATGGACGGATGGCAGGCTGGAAGGCAGACACCTTCACGGTTGGCTCAGATGACGTGAGCTCATTCCCAATGGCACTCTTCAAGGCGGTGAACAGCCCAGTCACCATCAAGTTCAACCTCGATGCTGCCGTTAGCTCTGAAGCAACTCTCCGCATTGGCACCACGCTTGCCTTTGCCAGTGGTCGCCCGTCAGCCAAGGTCAACAGCTACTCGCAATCATTCAGCGCCCCCACCAAGATAGACTCTCGAGGTGTGACTCGTGGCGCATACCGTGGGTTGGGCGAAGTGTATGATGTGAAAATCCCGGCTGGCACACTGGTCGCTGGAGCCAACACGATCAGCGTTGAGGTCATTTCGGGCAGCTCTGGAGATACATTCCTCAGCCCGAACTTTGTGTTTGACGCGGTTGAGCTGTTTCATTGATAAAGGGGCCTCGTGGGTTAGGCGGATACATGTTGATCGTCGTCCATAGTAGTAGTAGTTAGACCTGTATATTAACACACATTCATCCAAAACCTGTATCCTCTCTTGCTTGGCGTCCATTTCGAAGGATCAAAATAGCCCCAGTCCTTATTGCTAGAACACCAGTCCGCAACTTTTAGCCGCTCGGTAGTGTGCCCACATGATCTGGGTAGGGACACGATACCAGGCCCGAATGGGCTTGGCTGACGACGGTGCAGCCGTAGGTGCTTCAGCCGCTGATGCGCAGTCCGCTGGCTGAATGGAGTCGCCCTCCCTTCTGCTGCTGGCAAAGAAGGTCTCTAAGCCAAAGAAGGGATGGGGAGGGCTTTCGAGATGAAACAAGGCACTCTTCACCCCACAAAGTCTCATTGTCAGCGGCCCACACTCTGCTCCTGTCCTATCCTATCCTGCTCAAGTTCTATCTTTGCAAACATTGCCGGCGAGTGTACCCTGCGCCGTGCGTATACTAATGGTGCATGCAGGCAGGTAGAGTTGCAGCATGATTGGCCCCCCTGCGCTCAAAGCGGAAGCAGATGGGATGAGTTGGCTCCGATAGCAAGGAAATCAAGCAACACAGCCCACTCTGCAGTTCTTACAGGGGGGTGAGAGGGTCATGGGCGATGGCCTGACAGCCGACAAGCCCGACTTTTCCAGCTTTTGAAACAGACAACCAGCGGGTCGTGAAAAGAAATGAGCCAGTGGCTCTCACATCAGAGATGACTCTCCAGACCGCATGGCGCCGCGACATCGACGCTCGGGTCGAGCTGACAGTGGCCTCTCGGTCGGTTTCTGTTTTCTTGTTTTGCCGTTTCCTTCTCCCCCGCCGGTTGGCGCACATCTCGCTATCGCATGGACCTTTGTGAATAAGCACCGGATGCGACTGGCGTAAGCGTCCAGCAAGATCCCTGCCGAGCATTGGAGATCCAACGATGGAAGGGACGTGACTCGGCGCGTGCGGTAGGTAATTACCTACTTAGCATCATTTAGCTGGATTCCCTTGGGACTTGGATGGGGCAAGAATCTTGTCCCAGCCCAGGCATATGGGCTAATTAATGGTGCTAAGAATAGCACGCAGAACGCCCAAGTCCCCACCTCAACCCAATACCCATCCTACTAGGTAGGTAGGTCGGTGGGCAGCAATAATGATGTGTAATTAGCTGCGTCGTACTGCCGATGCTACCTCCTGCGCATGTAGGCATCGCTCCATTGGCAATAGATGATGCCGCGGGATATCAATAGGTGCTGCGATGGCCAGCCATGGTTCAGCCTGCATGGCGAGCCGGGAGGGGACCTGCATTGCAGCACCTCCACAGCACTGCACGGCACCTCGAGTCCAGAGCAGAGCGTACAGTCCAGTAGCCCCAGGGCCTTTGTCGGTCTATTCCACCTGCAACTGCCCCTGCCTAGTACCGACATCTACATGCTGGCTGCTCACGCGCCGCGACCTCCTACGTAACCACCTCACCCTACCTGCTGCTCATGTACGGCAAGTGGTTGCGAGAACGGCAGCAGGTACCACCCGTCCCTCCCCCGTCGCTCCTTCCCACAGCCTATCGCCAGGCCCCAGATGCCTCCGGCTGCGACTGCTGGCCACGAACAGGTGATAACAAGGTCGCCGATCCGCGCAGGCTAACGTAGAGATTGCCAATTGGAGCACACTGGCTGGGCGGTCCCGGGTGCCTGGTGCGTGCTACCTGGGTATTAGTCGTAGCACGGCAGGTAGGCAGGTGCGGGCTTGGATTATTTCAGCTCTGGGCGGCGGCGTCTACCACCTGGTGGAGTGCGCCGCCGGCGGCATGTCGCTTGACGGTTCGAGTTGGGTTTAGCACCTTGGTATTCTTAGCCCCGATGATTCTGCACTCCTCCTCCAACTTCTTTTCATTCATCCACTGCACTGGCTTGGGGCTTTTCTGGTCCAAGTGGAGCCCAATCCAAACGGCCACTAGGTAATAGGTAATAACTAGTGGGATCGCTCTCTCATGCAACCTCCAGCTCTCAGTCCCGTCTCGACCTACTTGCTAGGGTAGGTAGGTAGCACCTCCAGAGTACCCTCGTATTTGTGCCTTACACCATCCTCACGGATCTTCACTATTTACCTTCCCTCCATCCCTCGCCCTCGCGCCCAGTCCCTCTCCCCCTTCTGGTTCTCCTTCCTCCCCTTCCCTTCTCGTCCTCAACACGAAACGCTCTCTTCTCGGCAAGGAAGCCGTCGGCACGCTCCACTCGACGACAGCAGATTACCTTACCTCGACGACCTCACGATACCCCTGGTTGATTGATGGCCACTTGACCCTCCGCAGGCTTCCCCCTACGAAAATAGCAGTAGCCAAACACAGGCGGGGACCCTTTGTCAATGTAGGTGGCCTAGTTATTATTACTTCTCTTCTCTCCTCTCTCGTCGGCAAGAGCGTGTGCCCGTGCATCGTCTGGTCTTGTCTGGTTTGTTCAGGCAACACGCGCGCTGGCCATTGGGTCAGGCTTTTTTCCCCCGTCACCACCACCGCAGCATAGCACAGCCGCGCCGATCCTGCAATGGTTGTCGCACGAGCACGACTGTTGGCAACCGTGTAACCTCAACATCAGAGTCGCACCCAAGGACACTGCAAGTCCTTTAATCTGCACATGCCCATTAATTTCACGGCGCCACACCATCATCCTACAGAAATTTGCGGCTGACCCGACTTTATCCTTCTTTCCTCCAACAGGTCGAACATCGTCACCACCACCAATCTCGTCCCAGTTTCTCTGTGGTCGCAGCAACAAACCCAGCCGCCATTCGGGGGCCATCGCCATCCTAAATGCGTCTCCGACTGGCGCCCAGCTCCCTCCGTCTATCTTGATGACCATCAGCTCAACGGCATCGCTCACCTCTACCCGCAGAGCACCGTTATGTATCCGTACACGTCAGGTTCTGGAGCAGCCCTAGAGCCCGTATCGCCTCCAAGTTCACCGGAACCGTTTGATGGCAATAATGAGTACGTGCCACATTTGACGCCCCATGTTATATTAACTTCCTACTCTACGTACCAACTACCCATCTGTCGCTTAATCTCACCCCCGCTCCGAAACGTATCGTGTTGGGCCCGGCCCCCCTTGACAGCTTTTTAAGCCCCGACAGTTTCCTTCTCACATCCAATCTAACCTGCACTCTTTTTTTATGCTTGCTTGCTCGCACAAGCCTATCATTTTGGGATCGAGCCTCGGCTGACCGACCATCAACGTGCGCTAGGTACATGGACTACGATGTCTCACCGATTGACGATGAACCTGATGTGTTCCAGAGACAACTAGAGGCAAATCAACCATCATCTCAAGCAACAAGAGGTGTGCATACACAACTTACTGAAGACGACGATCACCAACAACAACCTGCCCAAGTAATTTCAGGCCCAAGATCCGGCATTGGCAAAACGAGCATTCCCACGATGCGCCGCGAAAGACGAAAACAGCGGGATGCTGCTCACGCCCAAGCAAACAAAGACCACCGACATAGCCCGCGACCTGGCGACGAGCCATTACCACCGCCCTCTCAGCCCATGGGCTGGGACGATCCGATGAATCCCAGATCTGGGGCACAGGCGGGACCACCAGAGCGTGTCCCAAAATTTGGGTCCACGACAACCGTGACGTCGGAATCTCAGAATCGACGCCAGGCCAGTAACCCCAATACCGCCTCCTTCGGACAGCGGATGCGTCACCAGTTTGGCAGAGGGAAAGCAGAGCCTATCCAGAGCCGGCCGGCATGGAACGGGGCCAGCGGACGAGAAACACAAGTCTCGCCTGTTCGAGATGACCTAAATGCTGCTCCTCTAAAAATTCCGCCTAAGAGTGCCAAACGGAATGAGCGTGTCAGAACCCCTGTGAACTTACCAGTCTCGGATATCAATGAAGGGGCTTCTGCTGCAGCCACTGCTGCAGTTCGGAGGCTGATGCCAATAAAGACGGCCCAAACTGCAGACAGATCGAGGGGTAACAGTCCTGCATTCGAAACTCCGAAGTCCGGTGTTCCCATTACACCTCACGCGTATGCAAAACCTACGCAAATTGCAGCATCACCTCAGCAGTGGCCGCCCCGAGACTCGTCAATGTCCACACCATCCCCTGCCGCAGCACCCTCAAATCTTAGTGTGCCTGCGCACTTCAATATCCCAAGAAAATCGATCGGTCATCCCAGAGCTCCTTCACATGCTCCCCAACTCTCTACCTCAAGCTCTATCTATTCAGATAATCCGGCAAATGATGATGATGATGATGAGGCCACTTGGAGACGGCTGGCTAGTGGAGATCCATTTGGGCGACAGCCCCCTCCACCACCACCTCCCCCGCCAAGGGATGAATGGTCCCCGGAGACTGTTCCATCCAACTCTGATGAAGAGGAGGAGGTCGAGTTACCCATCAAGAGCATGCCCATCGTGTCAGTCATGGAACGCAAAAGACCGATTCCCGGACGGAATAGTCCTGCTGCAATGCTGGACAACGCTATTGTCATCTCTCTCAAGACGGCAACAATCGCCGAAGCAGAGGCCGAAAAGGAGGCAGAGGCGGAGAAGGAGCTGCCACCAGTGCCTCCTGAACCACTTGAACCTGAGGATCGCATTACCTTCCTCAGCTCTCAACTGGAGAGCCTTGCAATTCGACGAGTTAACCTGAGTAAAAGCATCAAACAGTTGACCGAGTTAATGCCCAAGGACATGTTGATTGTCAGTGCCGAAGTACAGCGAAAGCGCGAGGAGGAAAAGAGAAAGGTCGAAGTCATGAAGCAAGAACTCTCAGACATTCAACAACAAGAATACGTGCTTGGCTTGAAATTACATCGTGCCTATAGACGACAAGATCGAGAGTTGGAACACAACACCGGAACACTATGGGTGAGACGGGTCACAGGTTAGGAACAATACCAATGGAAGAATCGACCAACTACACACGTTGTTTTCTTTCTTTTTATTTTAGGAGTTTTCTTACTTTTCCTTTTCTTAAAAAATCTACACTGCTCTGGATAGACTATACCAACCAGGGTAGATTGTATGATGATGAGCAGCATGGGACACGGATTTTGAATGCGAGGCGCAAGACCTGGCGTGCTGTGGTTATTACTGTTTTTCTTCTTAACAACATGTGTAATGATATTGGCTAATGGTGCCGAAAAGAATGAGTGTATTTTGAGCATTTAGAAGCGAATAATGTATGGCCATTTCTATTTCTCATGATTCTTTTCATCATATGACTAGACCGCCGGCGGTGCACATTTCGCATATTCACATCTATCAGCGCACTCTTAGTGGTGATCGTGAACAGAGCCGCATTTCCTTTAAACCACACGATATAATACACTTTGCTACGAAACAAACATGGGTGCATGCCTTGCGACAAGGTATCCAACACGGACAAGCCAGTATCTATTACTGGGCTGTGATTTCCAAGAGTTGCGCCGCGCGTAAAGAAGAGCTGCCAGCAACACATCTTTCCCCTCGGCAAGACCAACAGTAGCCGCCCTCGCTGGAGCTCAGGATGACGGGGCACTTGCAATTCCGATTCCAGGTATGCTTGCAGTACGTGGGGCTGTGGCTCCGAAGCTGCTCTGCCTGCGCTGGCTGGTCCGGCTCGGAGTCGACGGGGGACGAAGGGGCCGACCATGCCTTGGGCAGGAAGTTGGCGAGGCGGGCGGATAGGTTCCTGCGGAGGCTGGTCCCGTTCCCATCGTTGACTTTGGAGTCCATGGCGATCTCTTCGGCGGTGATGTCGCCGTCATCAGATGCAATGGCGCTGTGGTGGCTGTCTACGTCATCATCGTCCTCTGGTAGACGTGGGAAGAGGTCGAGACCCGTTTCGGGATCGAAGATCGGCAAGGTCAGGTCGTGATGGATGGGGGAGCCGGCGAAGATGGGACCGGCACTTAGTTGGGGGCTGGCGGGCCTCCTCGTGTCGGTCTCGTGGAAGCTGAGGGTGGTGGAGAAGTTGGTGCAGATTGAGAGGTTCGACATAGTGAAATGATTTTCCAGGAGAGGATTGTGTAGTGTTTCAATAAAACAGTTTCAAGAAGATGGATATGAGTTTCTGACGCCTGACTGCGTAGTTTGAGTTGGAATGTCAAGACTTGAGGGTGTATCACTGCCGAAGTGCTGCTGCCAGAGCAAGTTTGGATCGATGTAGAGTAGCTGCTCTGCGTTGCGTTGGAAGGGAAATCTTTTTAAATATACATACATCATTGAGGGGGGCGCCTGTTCTAGTGAAGGACGGAATGTTTGAAGATCTATCTAGAGGTGCGCTCTGTACAAACTCAAGGTTGGTTTCTCATGTTTTGGGCCATGTTTGTCAAGTAGGACAAAGCACGGGGAAGGGGGTTATTTGCCCCGGTGAGTGTGTCTGTGTGTAGGAATAGCTCTTTTCAAAGGCAGGAAGTACGGTTATTAAGTAAACTATGTTTGTACCAATAGTTGAGTTCACAAAACACACCGAGGTGGGTGTTCTCTCTACAGTACTTGTGTCACTGTGTAGAGATACGATTCCACTTCTCTCACACTCAGCCACCTAGGCTTATACTGCAATAGTTTGTTCAAGATCTACTACTAATTTGAAAACTCAGCTGTTGATTCCTGGTAGGAAGAGGATGATGTCAAAGGCATTTTAAAAAACTATGAACAGAATAAAAGCAAATTTTACAAAAAAGTATTCAACAGCTGAGGCTGTCTGGCGGACTCTCCCGCCGGGAATTGAACCCGGGTCTCAAGCGTGACAAGCTTGCATACTGACCACTATACTACGGAAGAACTTCGACTGTTGAGCAGTCGCTGTAGTGGAGGCGCTTGCAACGGTTGCGTTTAATTTCTGCTATGGACCTACCTAAGCTTGACGCCTCAACTGCCACTTTGCCACATCCAGTTTACCCTGTATCGCAACAGTCCTGCGCGCGAAAGTATAATCATGCCGCCATGATTCTGAAATGTGATTAATTACATACATACTGATTCATGCATATTGCGGCTGAAGCACTTGCCTCATTGGTAGTGTTCAAGCTTGATGCATGAGATCCAATTGGCCCGACGGTGAGACTGATGAGGAAAACCCGCCGGCGATCACTTTTCACATGCATGTACCTACTTTCAGTCTGCTTGCGCCAACTGCAAATTGTTCCAAAATAGAGAGTAACTAGGTACCTAGGAATTTGAGACAGATACATTTCTTCATAGCCTGCCGTTTTATTCCCCACAAAATCCACTCTAGGGAGTAGTGAGAGTATTCGCAACTGTGAATTTACCCTACATGTTAGCGAATTTTCCGCTGACACTCGAGAGCCTAGGCTTGGCATGTGATCGCTGCTATCTTCTATTCCTACGAGTCCTTTCCTAGCTCCCTGAGTTTAACGATGTAGTCGGTCACAGTCAGGAACCCATTTTCTTCATGTCTTTCACCCACCCGCCTAACATCGGTGATGTCGAATAACCTCAGAGTGACCTGGCCGCCAGGGTCCCGGGGGGCAACGATACGGAAATTGAGCGTGATGATGTTAGCCTCTGATTCTGGCACAAGTGAAACTTGGACAGAACCGAACCACTCGCTCGAAGGGGAGGGGTTTAGTTGAATCCAAGTCGATCTTGAGCATCCTGCCACAAGGCATCCTGTAAGCCTCGCAAGGGGTGAAGCTATCCAGCTCAAAACTGAATGAGAGGCATCTGGCACGGGAATTGGATCCTTCTGTTATCTCTCCATACCCTGGAAAACAACAGACCGAGCTGTACGACTCTTCACTGTACTGACCAACGTCGCCTCCGTTAGAAACTCGGAGCTCAACACGGGGGGAGCTGCCCTCTTTAGCGACGCTGAGGGTGGCCATAGGCAGGTCATTGGATTGTGCTGGTTAAACGTATGCCGGGATGAATGTGTTCGACATGAAGCTGAAGCTGCGGACGAGTTCCAACCCCCATGTGAGCTAGCCAGGGAGCAAAGGGCGCCGGCGCAATCGACTGCAAAGCTGATCTTGGTCCTCGATAATGTAGATTCGGAACTGTCTGGATAGGTATTCTTCGATCGTGGTCTCGATCACTGCGTTTTAACTAGGCTTGTTGTAAGTAAGTTCCACATGATCTGGTAGCTTTGAACAAGGCGGGTAACCTCGAGCGGGCAGGCCGTCAACATCGAAAAGTCCAATTTGCGCAACTGAACCTATCACATACCCATCCCTTCTGAAACCCTGAGCTATACGATGAGGGCGAGCCATTGGCATGTGCTGGGTGTTGAACCTGAGTTGACACGGCGGGAACGAATGAGTTTCCAAATCAAATGGATGACTCGAAGCCCATTGTAATTGTTCTGTTGGTGCTGAGGTAAGAGAAATAAAAGTCAATGAAAGGAACAATTCAGGGATTAATGGTGCTGCCATTGCATTCTCCTGGCCTTGCGCGTGTATGGTACCTGCAGAAGTCGGGTCGGGGGTCGTACGCTGCCAGTTGTAGAAGGGACAGGTCGATTGATGAACAAAGATTAGGGCCGTCAAAAGCGTAAGTAAGGGCCGCGAAACTATCAAATTCTATCAAGGATAGGCAGCTAGAAATTATCATCTTATCCTAGGCTCCTGGTTGGAGCAATAGAGCTTCTAGGCGCTTCTATTTTAGTACCAGAATAGCTGTACGTGTGCAGACGAATTCAACTGATTGCACTGGATGAGTCAGGAGAAGATTATTATCATATATCGGGTTGATGGCAAGTTCGAACTAATTCCTCAGGATGTGTTGTGACACTTTAGAGGCTGGTCAATTCAGATGAGCTGATGCTATTGCTGAAATTGGAAATTTAGAACTGGACCCTTTGTCCTCTCTTTGTTCTGAAAGTACTCTTCATAGTTTACTAGTAGAATCGTGTCTGTATGTTCATGAACCTTGATGATTGGAACAAACAGAGCCTCAGTGTAGCGAGCGAAGGACAAAGAAACACTAGGAATACCCTCGGCGATTAAGAAAGCCCATGATGCTCAACGGGAATAATATGATCATACTAGTTCTAGATTTTGTCTAGTCTTTATTGAAGTCAGATCAGAGCATACCTTAATCGGAGACCGCATAGCAACACAACTATGGATAAGGATTTTAAGTACCAACATCTGATATGTTGACGCCAAAGATACAGTCCCTTCTGTTTGAAAAGGGGTTATTCATGTTGTAATGTCTAACATGTATATATCAAGGTGGGTGGCTATGTCGCACATGGCCCCAAAATGTTTCCTCACAGCTGTTTGGGTTGAGCTTTTCTTCTTCTTTCTCGCAAATCTTTAACATGTTTTTGGGAATTGATGCCTTCTCCTTCTCTTGAATATATTTACAGTTTTTGGTGGTACATAACCAGACAAATGAAAACATCAACATAATATTGCGCCCGACCAGTCTTAGTTCATACCCTCCATGAACTCTACCCGATCTAGGATCATCTGCCTGTATCCCATATACTCTCTCAAGCCTTCCCAATCCGGACCTGATTCCTCCCCGTGCCTCCATGACTCCTTGAAACCCCACGCGCATGCAATCTTGTCTAGGGCTTCTCTCTCTTCCTCCCTCATCCACCGAAAGCGAAGCGGTGTTCCAGGCAACCACGTCACACGGCGCATCTGTTCCTTGGCACTGAGCTTGGCAATCATTCCTAGACCTCCCGTGACGAAGAAATATCCGGAGATACCTGCTATACCAACACCCGTGGCTGTAGTGACGTCCATGGTGTTTTGCCAGTAGGTGGCATAGGCAGTGGCCAGACCATAGATGCCAAAGGGAAGTGTGGCAAGACCAATAGCAGGGGCCGTAGCGTGCTTCAGCAGCTTCTGGCGCCTGAATGCTGTGACGCAGAATGCAGTCTCGGTTATGCCCAGGGCAGCATCAAGATTTCTGGCGTCGATTGCTGTCGCCAGGGCCAGGTCCGCAACGGGCTTTTCGATTGCCTTCGCGGCCCCGTTGGGGTTCTGTGGGATGTACTGCAGCTGGCCGTTGCGCACCTGAGGCTTGGGCTTGCTGGCATAGAGTTCAAAGACGGCGGGGAGTGTTTCGGGACGGCCCAGCTGTGCTTGGACGTTTACATAAAGCTCAAGGATATCCGAGGTCATCTCCACATTCTTATGAGAGACTAATTGGTAGGCTGTCTGCGAAATCTTGTCGCTTGCCGCCATGAGGTCGGCATCGATGGCGAACTTGGCTCCCGTCCTCTCGGCGCCGAGGAGGGCAAGGCGGGACGCCGACGCCTGTGCCTGACTTTGAGCCCGCCTTAATTGGGGATGGAGCGCCGATGCTGCTTGAAGACAGGACCCAAGGGCGTGGGAGGCTAATTGATTGCCATGGATATCCTCAACTCCAGCCAAGAACTGCTCGTGGCTTCCGTCTATCGAGTTGGCCAACTCGGTAGGGGTAGAGGATTTCCGGAGTGCTTTTGTAGGAGTTGTGATGTTCGAAGACTGAGGCGATTCTGGTTGAGAAGAAACGGTAGCGAAAGGCCTTGTTCTAATCAAGGACGACGGCGCAAGTCGACGAGTCGTAGGAGAGCGGGAGGCGGTTGCGTTGGTGTTGAGGGAGCGTACCAGCAAAGATTCGCGGGCTGCTCGGGGGAGCGTGGGAGAGCAAAACTGGCAGACAGAGCCAATTGTCCGAGGCTGTAGGTGGCGCATTGTGACGGTCGGGGCAGAAGGATGCCAGACCTACTTACATCCAGATCCTGACTGTGGTTGACAGGCCGCGAAGGTGGAATCTTGAGCTGCTCAACTTTCGGATACATCAAGCGCAGGGTGGGGCATCGAGAAAAACGGGGACCAATTAGGGTGCTGGTGTTAAATGGTGGGGCTTTCTGTCCTTCAGCGCTGTCTGCCTTGGCAATTGGTCCCTAGATGTACCTAGAGGCACGCGCAAGTCCTGCGGGTCCCTGTTGGTACCTAACACACCGTATTGTTGCAGGGTAAGCAGCTAAGTCGGTGCCTGCAGACTGAGTGGGATGACGAAACCTGATATCTACATCAAACCGGCCCTCTTGTTCTCACATCTCTCACACCAGACCTTTTTCTTCGTCTTGTGGTCGTGCCCTGGCTTAGGAATACTGGCCCTATCGTAGGCCAGACCCTTGGACTGGACAAGACTGGGTATTATCACTCCTCGTCTTCTTCAGCACTCAATCCATAGCCTCGTTGTCTCAGCCAATGTCTTCAAGGTCCCTCAACGACTCAATATAGCGGAAACACAATCCACGCGGAAGCCAAGAAGGAGATCTAGATATCGCCTGGAGTTGCGACTCTACGATGCCTCCTCCTCCACCACCTCCACCACCTCCGCCCCCAGGTGCTGGAGGCCCTCCTCCTCCTCCTCCTCCTCCTCCCGGCGGTTTGCCTGCCCGACCGCCAGCTGGCGCATTAGGCAGGGTACGTTGCGCTCCCCCGTCAACCTCAGCTTGAGTCAAGAGTCTAACCTCCAATAGGGCGCTCTACTTTCAGATATTTCCAAGGGAAAGGCGCTGAAGAAAACCGTAACGAACGACAGATCAGCCCCCCAGGTGGCAAACAATACATCCTCCTCATCAGGTCCTCCAGTGGGAGGTGCGCCCCCGATTCCCGTCCTTGGCGGAGCACCGAAGCCACCGGGTGGTTTGGCCCCCCCAGTGCCGGGCAATCGAGCGAGAAGCAATAGTGACCATGGTTCCGCTCCGGCCGCACCGAGTGTTGATCCAGCACCACAACTGGGAGGTCTCTTCGCCGGGGGCATGCCCAAGCTGAAGAAGAGGGGAGGAGGAATTGATACAGGGGCGAATGCAGACTCGTCATACCTCTCTGATCCCGGGGAATCAAATTCGTCTGCCCCAAGGCCGCCCATCGGTTCTGCGCCAAAGCCTCCGACCAGCTTTGCGCCAGCTGTTCCTGGGAGACCAAAACCGCCAGCAATAAAGAAACCTCCTCCGCCAATAGGGAAGAAACCACCGCCACTCCCAACATCCCGCAAACCGTCTTCTTTGGCCTCGCCTTCACCCACATTGGCACCTCCGCCTCCGCCCACCGCCTCACCTCTCGCTCCTCCTCCGCCACCTCCATCTTCAGCTCCAGCAGCACCTCCTCCTCCTCCGCCCTCAGCGGTGCCTCCTAGGCCAATCCCCTCCCCAGTATCACGAGCGCAGCCCCCACCACCGCCACCGCCCCCGCCTGCTGCTGCTCATCCCTCTGCCTCTCTCGCTACCCAGGCCGCGATTCGAGCTGCAAGCCAGACATCATCTCCAAACTCAGCACCTCCGGCACCGCCTCCACCACCGCCATCAGCAGCACCAGCTCCCCCAGCTGCTCCAGCGCCGCCTGCACCAAACTCACCACCGCCACCATCGGTGTCAGGCCGATCTCGGGGATCCTCCCTCCGGCAGACAATGCTCGATCCCAGTGCGTTCACCCTTAGTGCCAACGGCTCCAAATCTCCAAGCCCCACGCCCCAGCACAGTCTTAGCCCAAGTAGCAGTGCTGTTGGAGGTGGGTATGGCAGATTTGTTGTCGCTGATAATAGGTGGGTATTCAAAGACGAAAGCCTACTTCCCAAACCTAGGGACTTTATCAAGCGTCCTAGAAATTACAGAGCCGGCCGGGGCAGCAGTGTGCCATTGGATTTAAGTGCCCTCTAACTGGAATTTGGCTGTTGGTCGTTGATGGGACTGTATGATTGTAGTTTAGAATTGGGTTCTCAGGAGGGAGTATCACGTATTTTTTTTTGGCTTGTACAGAGCGATCAATTCCAATAAAGATACATGGGCTTCCAGGAGACACGACTACAGATTAAAAAAAATACCGACGATTTACTCTCATTTTCCTCACTTCTGGATGACGAAGTTTTGCTCCATGAAGGAGAGAGAATCAGCCTTGAATCTCTGCATCGAAACTTTGGCATAGATGAGCTGGACCTTGATATCATGTAGTCGAGTGGCAAGACCAATGCGCTTAATTATGAAACATTTTCTAGTACAAGCCGCTGGCAATATAATATACATATGCTCCTCAATATACCCTTTCATGCAATCGAGGAATCACCCATATACAGCTACCCTTTACATCGACTTCAGGTAGTTGGACTCCTTGATCTTGGCCTTCCTCTCCTTCCGCATGGCCTTTCTCAGCTCGTCCCGCTTCTCCGCGGCCTCAATGTTCTGTTGCACGGAGCTGTTCTCCTGGCCTGGCAGGTTGATGGATTGCTGTGGCAGGGGGATCTTGGGAGCCAGGGCCTCGAGGTTTCCCTGGGCGAGGAGCTCGGCCTCGAGGGCTAGCTTTCGCCTGGCGGCCAGTTTTCGTTGCTTCTTTGACTTGGCTGTTTTCATCCTATATCAGTATGGCAGAACAAGTAGATCCCCAAGCTAGGCGGAGGGGTTTTTTAAAAAAAGGAATGGAATTGGTTCCATACAGAATTCGTCTCCTGCGTCATCGGCTGCTCCGTCCGAGCTCTTCTTCATCACGTCCAGGCAATCCCACAGCCATGCGGGGTAGTCTTCGTCCTTCAGTGCCACTGGATCCTGGCCGCTCTTGAGAAAGTTGAGGCCTGTGAGGACGGTGCCTTCCGGGCAGCTGGACTTGGGTATCGCTGCCGCCTTGGGTTGCTCGCCCGGAGCGGTGGTGGGAGTTGAGAGGGGTGGTTGCTCGATGGAACGGAAGGGGGTGGAAACCGAGAACTGGCGCACGGCTGGGATCTGCCGCCGAAGCGCCGGGCTTCGTAGACACCTGGTGCAGAACATGGTGGTGTGATTTGTCGTTGTCGCGTGGCCGGCGATGGAGGACGTTTGATTGGAGACGAGGCGCAAAGCGGTCGGGAGAAATTTTGGTAGTGGTGGTGGTGCTCTACTGGCCAATCAAAGCGGGTCTTGAGCCCGACTGTCAGCCTCGTGGGTGTGCAGCCGCTCAACTAGATTTCGGGAAGAGGATGCGGGACGTTAGGAAAGTGCTGGACATGCATGGATTTACGTAGATCTGCCAATTGGTTGTGTACACAGAGCTGATTTCAATAGTGCGTCTTGGTATTACAGTCATACAGGTCATCAGCCCGAAGCGCTGGCCCGGGTGAGATATCCTGCTATCCATCCTCTTTTGCCAAATCACTTGGGCTCCCAATGGCAGCGCCGTTCGGGGAAAAGAGCCCGTCCCTTTCAGAATTTATTCAACTTAGTCCATCTCTTGATACACTTATGGCCTGGCGTTCTTGGGGTCCTCCCTTAGCTTGGCGATCTTGTTGATGGGGTGCACCTTGGCCTCGAGATCAATCTCCTCATCTCGCTTGGTGATGTAGTTTAGTTGAAGGCCCTTGGTGCCCGCAATCTTGTTGGTCTCCAGAAGTTGAAGATATCTCTCTGAATAGAATTGTCAGCTATGCCGCCGTGTCTGAATCCGCAAACAGCCAATCCAACTAACCTCGCAATTTGCCGCAGTTCTCTAGGTGGTTGACGCCCTCACGGTTGTAGCACTTGCCCAATTCCTCGCCAACCAGACGGATCATCATGGCGCCAACCCATTGCTCGCGAATGATGGCATCCTCGGCAGCCTTGAAGGCCTTGGTGTCATCGTAGTCGACTCCATTGAAGGTGGGAGGAACCTTGGGCTTCATGCTCTTGAAGCTCTCGGACTCGGGCGTCGGCATTCTGGCGGTGTACTTTGTCTTTGACGGCGGGGAGATATTCCAGTATCCGTTTCGCGATGCGATATAGTTGTCGAGGTTGATTGCGTTGGTTCCGACCACGGACGACACCTGATTGTGCGGTTACGCTCGAGCTTCGGCTGGTTACTTGGAGCCAATCGTTGCGACCTGATTGCTCAGGCGGAAACTCGGTCGTTGCAAGTACCGAAGTACCTCTTGTCACTTCATGCGACCCCTGATGGAGCGGCTTTTTTCACCGCTTTCGCCTGCCCCACCTTTTGGCCGGTCAAAAAAAAAAAAAAAAAAACTGACCAGCGTCAGCCGCCATAAAACCAGAGCGCAGGAAGCGAATTTTTTCCCACCCCCCAACCTCTCTCCCACTTCACCTCTCCCCGTATAAAACTTTGCCCTTGGGACTTCAGAAAGATCATAGCCCTTATTTTCTAAGTTTAATACACATTCCCCTTTCAATCATTCACAATGGGCAAGACAAAGACCAAGGAGACCAAGGCCAGCAAGAAGGTCGCCCCTCCTGCTGTCAAGGATGCCGGCATCAAGAAGGTTTCCCAGAGCTCCAAGTCCAAATCCAAGGAGCTGGCTAAGTCTGCCGCCAAGAAGCTTGTGAAGGAGGAGAAGAAGCCCAAGAAGAAGGTCGTCGAGCCTGAGTCTTCCTCTGAGTCAGAGTCGTCTGAGAGCGAGTCGGAGGCCGCCGACTCCTCGGACAGCTCTGACTCTTCCGAGTCTGAGGCTGAGACCAAGAAGAAGCCCGTTGCCAACGGCAAGAAGGCCAAGGCTGCCAAGAAGGAGGAGTCTTCTGACTCCGAGTCCTCTGAGGAGGAGAAGGAGGAGTCTGACTCTGACAGCTCCGACTCTGAGTCTGAGGAGGAGACCAAGAAGCCCGCCGTCAACGGCAAGGCCAAGGCCAAGGCCGCCCCTGCCAAGAAGGAAGAGTCTGAATCCGAGTCTGACTCCGACTCCGACTCCAGTGAGAGCGAAGACGAGAAGCCTGCTGCTAAGAAGGCTGAGAAGAAGGTGAGCAGACATGCAAATTTCCATTTCCAGATTCAATTGTCTCTAATATCTAATAGGAAGCTTCCTCCGACGAGGACTCTGACGACTCCGAGGACGATTCTGATGACAGCAGCGATGACTCCGAGGAGACTGAGAAGAAGGCTGCCCCTGAGGCATCCAAGAAGCGCAAGGCTGATGATGATGAGACCGACGCCAGCGCCAAGAAGACCAAGACTGAGGCTACTACTCTGTTCGCTGGCAGCTTGAGCTGGGGCATCGATGACGACGCCCTTAACGAGGCCTTCAAGGACTTCGAGGGTCTCGTCGGCGCTCGTGTTGTCTGGGACAAGCACACCGGCCGCAGCAAGGGCTTCGGCTATGTCGACTTCGCTGATGGCGAGTCTTGCACCAAGGCTTACGAGGCCATGCAGGGCCAGGACCTTCAGGGCCGTGCCCTCAACCTTGACTACGCCAACTCCCGTCCCGCCGAGGCTACTCCCCAGGCCCGTGCTGCCGACCGTGCTAAGCGTCACGGTGACAACGTCAGCCCCGAGAGCGATACCCTCTTCGTCGGTAACCTGCCTTTCGATGTTGACCAGGACACCGTCCACCAGTTCTTCAGCGAGGTTCGCGAGGTTGTCAGCGTTCGCCTCCCTACCGACCCGTAAGTCTTCTCTTCTTTGCAACTCGAAATGAATCTGCTGCTTACTAACCCATCCTAGTGACTCTGGTAACCTCAAGGGCTTCGGATATGTCTCATTTGCTTCTATTGAGGATGCCAAGGCTGCCTACGAGGAGAAGAACGGAGCTCCCATCGGCAACGGCCGCTCATCCCGAAACTTGCGCCTTGACTATGCTGGTGCCCGTCCCCCTCGTGACGGTCCTGGCGGTGGCCGTGGTGGCGGTCGTGGAGGATTCGGCGGTCGTGGTGGCGGCGGCCGTGGTGGTGGCCGTGGCAACTTCGGTGGTCGCGGTGGTGGTCGTGGTGGTGGCCGAGGCGGCTTCGGTGGTAGCCGTGGTGGCTACTCTGGCACCAAGGTCACTTTTGACTAAACAAATGATGGATCTGAGGGCTCTCGGGTGGTGGTGGTAAAACCCAGTGGGACGGGTCCTTGTTGACTCGCTCTATCTGTTCAATAAGTTGGTAGCTCCGACCTGGAGCTGTGGGCTTTGGCATCTTGTTCGCCTCCCTGGCGGGGCGGACGATGATAGACCTGGGGGCTTCTTTTACTTGAACCGTTGGCTTGTGGGTGTCATGCCTCAAGAACCGGCCTGACCGGCTCTCTGAGCATACTGTGGCTTTTTGATCATGTACGCATCGCATCACGTGGGACGAGACGAACGGTGCGAAGTTGATTTCTTCGTATCGTCTCGATCTCAACCAGTTGGCTTCTGAGGGATCTGACGGCAGCTGGCCTACCTGGATATCAACCCAAGATCTTCAGACTCTCATCTCTTGAGATGATGATCGTGAAGATGGAGGGGTTGAACACCAAGTCGGGCTGGCTTGATATTACTTCTCTTGAGGGTTATCTGGGGGCTCATAAAAGAACGAATCTTCGGGGGCTTTCTTTTTAACCCATACGCTACACACAGATCAGACGCGACGGCGCATCCAACTCCCCATCCTCTCGTATCCTGGCACCCATCAATTCTGGCTTACTTTCCCGCCTCGGTGAGTATTACCACGATTCCTGGCCCTCCGTTTCCGGCATATTGTATCATCATCAGTCCATTTTTCGAGACTGTCCGGCGTTTGGGAAAAGTTGATTGTATTTCGCGTTTTCTTTTCTTTTTCTTATTTCCCAGTACCTAGTTTTATTCACGTTTGCGCCCCGTAATCGAACAGAACAGCCTGAATAGAATCCACTACATCCAACGAAACGTGCCTTGCCTTGTCTCTTTGCTCTTTGAATAGTGTATCTAGTAAATAATTGCATCAGCAACCGGGCTGAGCGCACCCATGAACGTGGCTTGGTTCCCCTCCAAACTACCGCTGGTGGGCCGCGTCCTTGATTCTTAGCTCAATGGGCCTTGTCAGTGAGTGGGCCGTGGTCGTGTGCTGAATCTCAGCCATCATCAGCAATCCCAAATCACAGGCACCCACCGAGACCAGGCTGCGATTCGCTCCAACCCAAGCCACCAACAATGCGCTCACGTTTGCGCAGGAGTTGGGCGCGTATGTATGTGCTTTACATGCGGTGCTACGTACGTCGTTCACCAGCCTGTCCACTCATGTTCTCCGGCGGGCGACAATCACCTCGCCATCGCTACATATTTGGTTTAGATCTTCTCTTGACAGGTAGGGATACATATGTGCTGCTACGGGGCAGATGCCGGCCTGTGTGAGGTGCGGGAGGGGGGGAGCAAGTAAACATCCGACGAAGCGAAATCATGCGGTTACGTTTATGCATGTATGATCTCTCTCTGCAACAGGGGGAGAGATGGGGGGGCGAATGGAGGTCTCGCATATCATGTAATGGGCAAACCGAGCTAGCTGGGTCTTTGCCAAAGTCGAATGATGTTCACATTTGGGGGGGGCAGACAGTGAGATGATGACGATGGTGTGCGCGTGGGTGTGTGACTGAAGATTGTTGGGGGGGAAAAGAGCTCATCCCGCCTTCTTCCCTAAGGTTTCTGCTAATAGACCAGCGCGCAGCCCTCCTTTTGCGTGTAAGCTAATTACTAGGATCCCGCTCACGGCGTGACTTGCACCTTCAGGTCTCAATGACGAAGGGTCGTCGTTGAATGAATGGAATCCAGCTCAGTACCCCGCTCCGGGGCCCATGCGTGCACGACTGTGTTCCCTGCGCAGACTATCTATAGGCTGGTCTAAACATGGATGGATATGCACAACTGGGTCCCTAAGATAATCAATCAGTGAGATCAGCTACCTGCTCGCTCTAGCAAGGTCCGTAGGTAGAAGTACCTTTGGCGGTGCCCGTGGCCTCATAGTGCGGTCAGTTGGCGCATTAGCGCTATTCCCTTCCCCCAGGGCACGGCTTGCGACCTCCTGCCTGGAAGGGGGTCGGGTTTCATTTACAAGGCGGCCTGGAAGGGTAAAAAGAGGCGGCGGGTGGTCAGAGGCTGGCAGAGGCGTCATCCACGATTAGCCCCAGCGCAACGGGCGCATCAGCATGCGCTAGCAGTAGACCCGGAGAGGCAGAAGAAAGAAGCGTGGCATCTAGCAACTCTGGCAGGGCTTTTACGAGGGCTTGTGACTTTGAACTCTATGTGCCAATAAACGTTCCCGGACGGGCCTCGAGTCCCGCGCTGGAGGCTGCCCCAGTGCCCCAGAGCATGTCTCACAGTGGTTGAGCAAGTGAGGTGGTCATGCGCTGGTGCTGCACGTGTGGTGCAATCACGCAAGTACCACTACCGCAGTGTCTATCAGGGTGGGCTGATGAAGGAGATCCCCCCGTGTGTCATCCACCTCATCCATCCCGCCTTGCTGCTGTGCCTACTACCTACCTCAAACTGCACTATCCCTTTCCCACCGCTCTCCACCAGCAGGGCGGCCCAACCACTTTCCCAACACATTACGTTAACCCCGACATCGCTACATGCGATCCGTCTTGCGCGTATCAGCTTGTAAGGTTCCCCCTTTCGGATTACGCTTCCTTTTCTTTTTTTCTTTTCCAGCTCGCTCTCCTGTGCTTCTCCTCCGCCCTCTTGTCTCCAAACCACCCCCTTCCTCCGTCTTACAGAATCCGGGGCTCCTTTGTTTGTCTTTGGTTGGGTGACGCAGGCAACCGCAGCGCTGGAGTCGAGCACGCGGGGGTGGCTTTCACCGACTCCTCCCATTGTCGACTCAACGGCTTTGTCCTCGAGCGTCGACCGCGTGAACCTACAACAATAGTTCTTCGTTCATAACCACCATTCCTCAAGAAACCCGTCGCGCATTTCCTAGCGAACATCCATCATGGAGGAGCACGCAACCCATAACGGACAGCAGTCACAATCACAGTCGCAGCCAAGTAGAGCGTCGCACCAGCAAGTTGCGCCTTCTCAGAGACGCTTCGAAGGGATGCCTGCCACCGACCTACACGTCTCACCGGGCTCACCCATGATCAACCCGGAATCATGGGTGGAACTGTCCTCGCAACCGTCGTCCTCCTCGTTGTCTAGTATTGGCGACGAGATCGTCACAACCGGTTTGCGAGTCGGCGCGCCTTACCTGCGACGTCGTCGACTCCTCGCATCGGCCCGATCTCTCCCCCAGCAGCCGACGGCAATCCATAGCAACGATACGAGCAGCCAGGAGGAATATGAGGAAACGGAAAGCGAGGACGATCCCCTCATGATCAGTTCTGGCGAGAGAACGCGGTCCTCCCCGGAGGTTATTGGATCTCCCCGGGATGATTCCTCAGACAGCGAGTCGGATGGCGACGACGCAACTGCGTTAGGCAGGGCACCGGATCGCCCAGCATTCCGCCCACAGCCAAACGCATTCTCCCACCCTCAGAGAAGCAACTCGACCAGCACCGCCATTCCACCCCACACGCACAATGAATTTACGCGGCCGTCCTTCTCCCAGCGATCCCAGACAAGGGCTTCTCAAAGGCTGAACTTCATGTCTCCCTCGCGCGAGGATAACGATGCCGCGCTTCGGGCCTCATTGACTACGCTCTTGTCGTGTGCAGCCGCAGCGCGCGGCGCTTCAAAGGCAAAGGAGGAGCTGGAGACGCCGCGAACAGCAGGCACTGGTGTCGGCCCCAGCAACCAGCCCATGGACCTTCGTTTTGTCCCGGAGTCCGAGCTTGACCGGGCGCAAATGGAGGATGTACAGCCCGGTGTCGCCCCTCCGCTGAAGCCAGTACCTGGTGCAAGATCCTCCTCGAGGACAGGGGGTACCAAGACAAAGCGAAGTACATCTGCCGGGCAGGGGCCGCGAACGAGCAGAAAGAAGAAGGTTATGGTGGGTGAAGACGCCTTAATTTCGCCTACGCTCATGACGTGGGTTGTCAGTGCTGGCGTTGTCGTCCTTGTTTCGGTGGTTGGCTTCGGAGTCGGCTATGTGACCGGAAGAGAAGTTGGGCGCCAGGAGGCCTTGGCTGCCGGCATGAGCACGGCCAACGATACTTCATCATGCGGCCAGGAAATGATGCGCAGCTCCTCGGGCGGTCTGAGGAGATTAAAATGGGGGGCTGTGGGCAAAAGCCTCGTTGCCTCCAGTTGAGCTCGCCTGGAGCGCATCCTAACGAATACGACAGTTGTAAGCCGAGACGATATGATACCTACTTGTCAGTTGCGGGCGAGGAGCCATTTGAAGATGGGAGTTTATGAAATGATTTCTGTAACGAAATCATGAATCATTACGGGGGTTTATTTTATGACGGGTTGAGACCCGATTTAGGTGTAGAGGAGGCGTTTTGCAAGCGTTCGATATGATGACTTTTGGGCGGATGACTCTGTCATGATATCTGTCTTGAGGTAGATGACCCATTTCGCCGGAAAGTAGTGGCATTGGGTAGCGAGTGACAAAGATGAATTTATACTGCATGTTATCGGATTGGGTAGTTTTTGATTATTCCTCTCAATTAGTTCCTGGGCGGTAGATAGGCAAAAAGTCGAATAAACATTGAACCATCTTGGCATGCCTCTCGGCTCTGATCTGATCTGAGAATACCTCGGATATTGACGTATCATCCAGGGATCTCCTCCAGAATTCGCTTCCCCTGGATGCGGGAGACAGATATGGTAGCCGTTTCGTCGAAAAAGTGCGTCAACATGGTATGATTTTTGCCAATGGAGAAATTTTAGCATAGATCCCAGATCTGCCATCTCAAGACGAATCCGAATACGAGATGTATCTCGATCTCGGGTACGGCGATTGGCCACCCGCCATTGGCTGATCTCCCACACCGCCCGGGGGGACCCAGCGGCTCGCAAAAGGTTCAGCCACTCACGGACCAGGAACCGGGCTTTTAGACCAGGGGCCCAGCCGAGGGGAACTTGAACCCCCAAATCCAGCAGCGACCGTCCGTGTAGTAATAAGAAATTAATATTTGGGTTTCCCCCTCGAAACTGAACCCACGACAACACCGACACCGACTCTCTTTTTCTCTCCCAAGTTGCTACAGTCGTGCGCGCGCAATTACTCAAGCCCGACAATTCACATCTTGTAGCAATCATGGGTCTTCTCCAAGAGGTGGCGGCCCATCCGCTCGCCGAGCACTTCCTGGGACTCGGTCTCGGTGTGCAGCTGGCTGTCGTGTTCGGAGGGGTCATCGTCCTGTCCGTGATCCTCAACGTCCTCAGCCAGATCCTCTTCAAGAACCCCAATGAGCCTCCAATGGTCTTCCACTGGTTCCCCTTCATCGGCAGCACCGTCACTTATGGCATGGACCCTCCCAGGTTCTTCAAGGAGAACCGCGACAAGGTGAGTTTGAACCCCCCCCTCCTCAAAAGTTTAAATGCGATGGATACATGGCAACAAGTAAAACCAATGGTTCTAACAGTCAACTTTTATAGTTTGGCGATACCTTTACCTTTATCCTGCTCGGCAAGAAGACCACCGTCGCCGTCGGACCAGCTGGCAACGACTTCATCCTCAACGGCAAGCTCAAGGACGTCAACGCCGAGGAAATCTACACCGTCCTTACCACCCCTGTCTTCGGCAAGGATGTTGTGTACGATTGTCCCAACGCAAAGCTCATGGAGCAGAAGAAGGTACGTTGCAATTGTCAAATGGCATCTTATTTGATATACTAACGAGAATCTCTCTCCTCGCAGTTCATGAAGATTGCCCTCACAACCGAAGCCTTCCGATCCTACGTCCCCATCATCTCTGGCGAGGTCCAGTCCTACTTCAAGAAGAATGCCGACTTCAAGCCCAAGTCCGGAGTCATCGATCTCCCCAAGAAGATGGCCGAGATCACCATTTTCACCGCCTCCCACGCCCTCCAGGGAAGTGCCGTCCGCAGCAGGTTCGACGAGACCCTGGCCGCCCTCTACCACGACCTGGACATGGGCTTCACCCCCATCAACTTCATGCTTCACTGGGCCCCTCTCCCCTGGAACCGCAAGCGCGACCACGCCCAGCGGACCGTCGCCAGCATCTACATGGACATCATCAAGGACCGCCGCGCCAACGGCGACGCCCACGAGGAGCACGACATGATGAAGCACCTGATGAACTCGACCTACAAGAACGGCACTCCTGTCCCCGACCACGAGGTCGCCCATATGATGATCGCCCTCCTCATGGCCGGCCAGCACTCGTCCTCGTCCACCAGCTCCTGGATCATGCTCCGCCTCGCCCAGAACCCCGAGATCATGGAGGAGCTTCTGCAGGAGCAGATCAGAGTCCTGGGTGCCGACCTCCCCCCTCTGCAGTACGAGGACCTGGCCAAGCTGCCCCTCAACCAGGCCATCATCAAGGAAACCCTCCGCATCCACGCCCCGATTCACTCCATCATGCGCGCCGTCAAGCAGCCCATGCCCGTTCCCGGCACCAAGTACGTCATTCCCCCGTCACACGTCCTCCTCGCGGCCCCTGGTGTCAGTGCCTCGGATCCCCAGTACTTCCCCAGCCCGGATACGTGGGATCCTCACCGTTGGGAGGTCGACTCCCCCAACGTACCCAGCATCGTTCGCAACGGGGCTGTGGAGGAGGAGGAGAAGATCGACTACGGCTATGGTCTCGTCAGCAAGGGTGCCGGTTCCCCCTACCTGCCCTTCGGTGCCGGCCGCCATCGATGCATTGGTGAGCAATTCGCCAACGTCCAGCTTCAGACCATTGTGGCCGAGACGGTGCGAGCATTCAAGTTTAGCAACGTAGACGGTAGCCGGAACCTTATCGGCACCGACTACGCCTCGCTCTTCTCGCGCCCACTGGAGCCCGCCAAGATTCGTTATGAGAGACGGGATTAGACAAATTTATAGATTATGACTTTTTTTCTTCTTCTTCTTCATTCATATTTTCCCGAGAGCAGACAAATGATAATGTGAGCGGAAGAGTGGGGATGGTTCTATGAGATGGAAAGGGGGGAATGGGGCCATTACTATCGGCATTTCGTTGCCATTCGAACTAAAATTGATAATATAGATCTGGGATCAGGACCCCAAATAGATTTTTAATAAGTGCAACGCGAATTCCTGAATGAAAAAGAAGGGTCTATTGAGCCGATTAGTGGGGCGGCGACTGATGGAGTAACCGCTTTGGGCCACGGCTTGCGATTTCATGTTGCAGCGTCCGGATCAAACGGCAGACTCGGAACTTCGAAGCCGCAAAGCACTGGTATGACGGTATTGACCACCTCAGAAATATGTTGGCCATGCCGCACTTCAACTTGAGACACCGAGTCACGAGGCAGGGAGGCTCTTGTCAGATCTTTCTGGATCCTCCTCCCGCTCACCGTGCATCTGCATCGTCTCTGAGTGTCTTGATAAAACAGCGTTGAAGAGCCTCAACACCATTCGAAGCCAGCGTCTATGTGCGACAGCCCTCCGTGGGAGCGGTGTGAAGGCTTTTCTAAAAAATTCCGCCAGAAGCAGGCAGGAGCCCAAATAGAGTCACAATGAGCCTCGAATACGGCCCCCTCATTCGCCTTTGGGGCATTCACAGCTCACAGCTCCCAGCCGTCTCTGCGTCACCTGATGAGCTGACTCCATTCCTCTCATCAATTCTGCTCGAGGCCGCACCCTTCATCAGTAACGTACCGTCGCCCGAGCGATCACCATTTAAAACGGCATGGCAGTCAATGGGCAGCAGAAGATTCCTGTCGTCTAAATCGCCCGTATATATGTACAACCGTACTGTCCATACAGATGTCTTGGAATCGCTAGCCCAGCAACATCATTTACCGCAGCTCAAGGGAGGGCGGCTCCAACCTGAAAAATGGTATCTCCGCCGCAGCACACATGAGGACAGCGCTGCCCCTGGAACCGCCCGCTGGGACGAGTGGGTTAAATGCTTCAAGGAGCACCATTCCGAAGCGGAAAAGGAGTTCACGCCGACAGTCCTGGGCACAACCGTGCATCAGGAATGGGACTGCCGGGACGTAGAGGTCGAGTTGGACGGCGAGATCTGGACCGACTGGACCCTCAAGCTGGAGGAATCTGTGCACCAACTGCCTTCCCCTTTCAAGGATCGAGTGTTCCCTGTGCTACAGGCCACAGCAGCCGTTCGAGGCGGGAGGAAGTTCATGGTCGTCCAGATAGCGGCATCTGACTTGAACGGGGACAAGCAGCGAAGCAAAACGGTGCGCGGCGCCTACACAAGCATCGAGCGACTGATGGAGACGCCTGACGGCATTGAATGGGTCATGGCGACGACGTCGGATGCGAAGGGCTCGCTGCCACCATGGATGCAGAAGATGGCTATGCCAGGTCCGGTTGCGAAGGATGTTGCGCTCTTCTTGTCTTGGATCGCATCTCAGCGGACAACGGGGAAGAATAGTCTAGGTTGGGGCGGAGGCCAGGCTGTCAAGGGAAAACAAGTGAGGGTATAAAGGATCATTGTCTATAAAACATCATTCGAGGCCAGGGATTTTGGTCTTTTGTTTTTCCTTTTTTGATTTTAGCGACAAGGCGTCTTGTGCCCTTTCTTTTTCATTTATTAGGATGGAAAGAGTTTCTTGTTCCTCCCCGCTTCTCTTGGCCTACCTCCTCCTTGTTGGTTGGCAGGCGCACCTCGGCAGGCACCTTCCCAGTGTTGTACCCAAATGTACCCAAGTACTCATCCGACATCAGGGAAGGCGTGCACCAGGCTGCTCGCTTAGAATCTTCCTACCTACATCCACGGTCTTCAAAGGCCGATGCATAATACTAGATATCTACCGAAGTACCTAATCCAAATTGCTCCTATGGTACCTAAATCTCATCCCCCAAGTTCCAAGCAGCAGACTTCTACCGACATCCAATTCAGCCTTTGCTCTTTTCCTCGTCATGTCTGCTCAACCCTGATTTGAACTCCGCCGAAGAGATTAATGTACTGAAACTCGGATGCTCGCTGCATTGTACTTGAGTGTTCTGCAGGCTTTCAGCGGCGTCCTGTTGCCCAACTCTAAACTCTGCGAACCAACACACCCAAATCAGGCAAAGGCAATTAGATCTGGGCTACCAGGTCCCCGGTAGTAACGATGGTGAGAGCCACAAGACGACGTTCTCTACCTCCTAAGAACACCGGCGACAATGGTTCAACCAATTCACTTGGCGAGGCTGCTGCCGTGAGCACGTCGACGTCCACTTCTGCAATTTCGGTGGCACAAACCCCTCTTCCGCCGAGACATCCTATCGCGCGCGCTGAAGCACTTGCCAAGATGACATTCGAATTGAGTATCCGGCAAGTCAGTGCTCAGACCGATCGGCTGCAACGGGATTTGCAAAAACTCGTACACTCCACGAGCCAGGACAAGGAATTCCGGGAACAGCATGAGGTTCGCCTACAGAAACTGTGGCAAGAAATGCTGGCAGTGAAGCATCACATGTCCCAGGTAGATGAGGGCCAGAAGGGGGCGGAAGAACTGAGGGCGGATTTCGAAAGATGCCAAGAGGAGACCAAGTCGCTCATCTCTGAGTTTCAGCACGAGATAAGAGAACTCCGAGAGCTTTTTGATGGGCTTTCGAGGCAACTGGATCAGTTTCCGACGTTGGCGGATTCGATAATTGACTCTGGATATAAGTCTCAGTCCATTATAGTCGCTAGGTCGACACTTGATTCCCAGACACAGTCTTTACACCGCGGATATTCACTGAACAGCCAAGACAGCTGGGGCGCATCGATGGATCAAAGCGTTGAGGAACTTGTACAAGCCGGGTATGATAAACAAGCTGTTACAGACGTCTCTATTCGTGTTGTCGAAACAATCAAGTCGACTCGTCGATGGCATCGCGACCACAAGGCCACTATCCTCAGCGATGCCGAGTTCGCCGAAAGCTACCTCAAGCAGCAGTCGAAGCGCGATCCGGATCTCGCCGTCCGCATACAGAAGGCACTATTACGTTGGGTTCGACGGAATAGAAGGCTAGCGAACCCATCTCCACGGTCACTTGCGGAATTCTGCAGAGATGTCAAGTGGCAAGATGTGATCGATACAGTCCAGGACATGCTGGTGAAACATGAGAAGAGGACAATGATGGAAATGTTAAAAGAGTCTCAATAACTGGAGCGTATAGTAAGAAGTGACTTTAATTTCACGAGTGAAGATAGTTCAGTTTTGTAGTTTGAGGGTACCATTCTTCTTTTTGACGAGCTATGGTTTTTAGCTAATCACAGATACACCCGCGTGAAGAGATAAACCTTAATGCCATGTTTTCTGTCGCTTCTGACTTCAAACTCCGAAACGCCTTGTGACTATCATGAAAACCTATCCGTTACCGCAACTCCAAATACAAAACAGGCGAGAGAACAGCATTGTGGAAGCTGTCGTCCACCCCTCCTCCCTCTAATGACAGACGGTACAACGTCCATGTATTACAGGACGTAAATTAGTGTTGAGTTGTACTTTAATCATCCATCTCCATGTTGATAGATGACATCTTGAGCTCAATCTCAGACTTGAGCTGCTTGATCTGGGCCTCGATACGAGACCGCAGAATCTGGTTGTTTGTCTTCTCCCAGTCGGCGCGGCGCTGGGCGAGCTGCTTCTGCATGTCGGAAATGATATCCTTGATGCCCTGCTCCTCATCCCGCTGAGCCCGCTCGTCGTCGTCGAGATCGTCATCGTCATCATCGTCGTCGTCGTCGTCATCCTCTTCCTCTTCATCCTCTTCGGATTCCACGCTGTCCTTGACGACATCCGGAGTCCCGACCTGCGTGCTGGTCAGGGGCGTCTCCGCCGTGACACCCGCAACAGGCGTCTCGGCCATGAACTCGTCCGCAAAGGCAGCCTCCAGATCGGCCTCCAGGTCGACGTCGGCGATGTCGTCCCCGGCGTCCGTGCCGAAGAAGCCGCTCTGGTCCAACTCGCCCTCGGCGTCCTCCTCCTCCTCCTCTTCCTCCTCGTCATCGCCCTCGTTCTGGCGGTCGTCGACCCACTCCCACTTGGTCGACGCGGCCTTAGCGTCGTCGGCAAGCAGGCGCTCGACCTCCGCCTCCTTGTCCTCGATCTCCTTGCGGCTGATGGTCTTGGCGAACCTCCGGTTCACGGCGTCGTGCATGGGCGGCGTCAGGCCGTGCGGCCACTTGAAGTGGGGGTTGTTGTCGAGCACCTTGGGCAGCGGCACCTTCTTCGCCTCGTCGTCGTTCTTGACCCTCTGGAACACGAGGAGCATCTGGCATATGTCGGCCGACTTCATAAACGACTTCCTGTCCCAGGTCTTCATCGCCTCCGTGATGGTCGGCAGGTCCACCATGACGGCGGCGTACGGCTGGCCCTTGACCACCACCACCGCCCGCCGGCTGTCCTCCTCGAAGAACTTGATCTGCACGTCCGCCCCGCCCTGGCTCTTGGACACGCCCATCTTGGAGTTCTCGATGCACCACCGCACGTAGTCGGCGTGCTCCCCCGGCAGCATGCGCAGCACCAGCTGCTCCTCGATGTTGGGGTCCCGCTCGCGGTCGCTCGCCTCCGAGTCGTACCCGTCCCCCGGGGGGTGCACCGGCGGCCGCCCCTTCTGCTTGATGAGGAGCTGCTTGGCGCCCCCGGCCCCCGTCTTGATGACGGGGCGGACGTTGAGCTTCTTCTTGGGGTGGTGGTGGTGCGCCGCCGCCAGCGGCGCGTCCTCGTCGTCCTCGAGCGGCCGCTTCTTGTTCTCCACCACCTTCTGCGACGGCTTCGGCTGCCGCCCGGCCTTGGTCTTGGTGGGCGGCGGGGGCTCCAGCGGCGTCGGCGGCTGCGAGGAGTGAATCTTGAGCGTCACCTTGCGCTGGCTCTCGGTGCGGGGGGTCGCGACGGTTGGCGATGCTGCTGCTGCTCCTGCCGACGGTAGGGATGTCGCACTCGAGTCCATGGCGAAGGACGACGACCGGCTGGGGTTGAGCTTCAGACGCGGCCTTGGTGGCGCCGGAGCGCCATCAGGGCCGGTCATGGTGGATGAAAATTTGGAATCTCTGGCCTCGTTGTTGAGTTGGATTTCGGGTCTGGTCGTGATCTGCGGTGGGAGACGTGGGCGATGTGGTTTTGTAGAGTTCAAAGAAACGCGTGAGAGCTTGTAGTTGCACTCTAATTGCTTGAGCCGCAGCTTGGCCTATCGATTGCAGGCAGTTACTCACTTGTGGGTCCCACTTTAATTTGTCTTCAGTCACCCTTCGCTTCTACTCAGGAGGGAAAAAGCGAAAAGACTGGTAATTAATACTATTTACCTGCTCAAAAAAAGAAAAAGAAAACCTTCGTGAACTCTAAGCCTTGGTGAACTTTAAACTTCGGGTTCTGGTAAACTTAAATTGAGCTGCGAATGCAAGCCGAGTGCCACATTGGTTAACATAAACTTTGCCATTCTTAAGCACTGATTGTTCAACGTCATCATCTCTTGAAAGGATGGCGGGAACTTCTAACTTAGTCAAGGCCATCTCATAAGCATTTCGCATGCGGCTCATATCAATTAGTATGCATAAGGAGCACGACAAGAACTCAATCACCGTTTCCATACTCAAGTTTCCTTGAATTAACTTCAACACCAGATTTTATTTGAGTATAATGCTATAGAAAACATGGTGCTTTTACCAATCAATGCCTTGCCAGGACTGGTATCCCTGGTCGACATTTATCCAATGGCCGCCCTTGACACCACTCTCCCAGTCCATCATCACGCCAAGGAGTCTGCAACCCATGGCACTCACAGCGCATACTATGCTATCACTTGCACCTGCAATCACTGCTAGGTCCATCATATAAGCACGGCCAATAAAGGCTCGCAACTGCATAGTTGAATCGGACGGCGATGCCATCCGTCTCAGGACGTCCTCAGGGATGCCAGTTTCCACTCCCTTAGGAGCGTTAGCGGCATTGTTCTTGCTCTCTGTTCCCAAATTCCAGAAAAGGGTCGCAAAGAATCCGCCCTCCCAACCAAAGGCCTCCTCGATAAACTTATGAATGAATGCAACAGGCTGGCGTGCCTGGGTCATAGATGTCTTGGATGCCAGCTTGATTCGATCCTGGGCCACAATAGCCCTTTGCAAGTCAGGCTCCTCGTGAACAGTAGGATCGTCCGAGGCCAAAACAAGAAGAGCCTCGTGGGGTTTCCCCTGGGTCTCCACATCTCCAAAGTGGGCATTAGCAGCCTTCTGGGCGCTCTGGTGGAAGATATCTGCGGGGATATAAGTATCCTTGTACTGATATTCCTTGGGGTGTCTATCTCCTCGCCGAATATGTAGCCCGACGATGGGTGTGTTGGGGCTTGTGAAGTCAGTGATGGCCTTGTTCTTCATATCCTGGATACGAGTCTCGACGTAGTCACTGTCATCAGCATGAAGGGCAAAGAGTGAATCATAGCCAGACCGGGCGAGATCCCACAGGTCACGGGCCTCATCGCTAGTACCAGATGTGCGGCGGTACTTGGCGAATAATTCGGGGAATGAATCATGTACGGATGAGCTCGAGACAATCAGGTGTCGTGCCTGGAATGGGCAAGGCAGCATGTGATGCCTGGCAGGTGGCTGACATTTTGGTGATGGGATGTTGTCGAAGACGTCAGAATACTTTCCGTACGCCCAGCGTGAGTCCTCAACGAAGAAGGTCCGCCCCTCTTTCTTCGCAAGACCGTAATATGTCCAGAGCATCATCAGAGTGTTTCCCAGGCCAGCATCATCGCCTTCCAGAATAAAGGTCATCGACTTCTTGCAAATTGACATGCCCTGCATGGCTGCCGTGTCAACCCCCGCAAACCTTCCGGTTTCCCTTGAAAGCTTTCCATGGTGTGTTCGTAGAAGTCCCTGGGTCTCCGCCTCTTCCACGTCCAAGAAAAACTCATCAGAGCTGCCTGTGGCAAGAGGGCCCTTGTGGTACATCTCACGTGTTCGTGCCGAGACTTTCTGGCACTGATTGTTCATCGTCATCATCTCCTGAGATGATGGCGGGAACTTGGTGTCGGGTGGGATAGAGACTGTCCATCTTGTCTGGCCTTGTATATCTGGAACAATAAAAGGCGTGGGGTATCTCGGTATCGAATCAAGCCCCATCATTTGATTGTCCTCATTGGAACTGTCTAGCCAGAATCCATCTATTCCGCCACGAGAGCGGATAGCATTGACAATCAAGTAGCCGCCGATGAAAAGGGATATCACATAAAACGTCAACCGGGCGAGCCGGCTTGGTCGAGCCTTGAGAGGGTTTGAAACCCTCCGTTTCCGTCGAGGAACAAGCGCAGGGAGGCCAGGCGAGGGCGGAGGAGAGAAAAGTAGGTGGTTGAAGTTGAAGGTTGCAGATGAGGAGGAAAGCGGTCCCCGATCTTGAGCGTTATAGGCAGCGGCGCGTCGAAGGTTGATCGCAGGGGGTGCGACAATCACCTTTGCGTGAGTCGTCCCTGGTACCTGGAGAGTGTTCGACATTGTGAATGAATGATGTGGGTTGCTGAATGTGAAGATAGACACGACGTATCTGAACAACAGAAAGATACAAACTCGTCAAGAGGGTCCAGCACTTAGACCGAAGCGAAGAAGCAAAGGAAGGAATGTACAAGAGAATAGAACTGAAGAGATTCAAGTTGTTGAGAAGTAGCCAAGCATGCTCCACGCAATGATTCGGAGTAATGGCCAATACGACAATTCAGCTCCGTGCTGAGAAATGATGTGTAACTGTGGCTGCTGGGAGGAATCCAAAGAAAGAGAGAGAGATAGCAGAAATGTCTGTCCCAGGTCCCGGCTGGTCCAGTAATATTGCCCGTGATTTCGGAAGAGGGATTCTCGGATCAAGAAAACGAAGGAAAGATGAGGTGCATGAGACAACTATTACCGTCATGCATTGGCGCAGCCGTAAAAACAGGAGGCGTCCAGTCCTGTCTCGTATGTCGACGCAGAGCTCAACCCCGCAAATCTGAAGTCAGCTGGTCCTATGTATCGGGCCAAACTGTCGAGAGAAAGAAAGGTAGGCGTGTGTTCAATAGGTGGGTGATAGAGGGAGTGATATCATCCGATCAACATTGGTTAGTCAAGCGAACCTGCCCTTGACAACCAAAGTGTGGATGAGCGTTCAACAAAGGAAGGAGAAGACGCTTATACGAAGCATAGACACCAAAGAGAAGAGAAGGCGGGAAGGCACGGCGATCCAGATGCAGGCCTACAGTGACGAAGAGAAGAAAAAAAAGCCACCAAGGGCGGGACTTGTTTGATGAGAGGCACAGAACAGAGTCAGAGGCGATAAAATCAGCAGAGCCGGGCTGGACTGCATCGTCTTGTGGACGGGGTACCGATGTCACTTGGCGGCGATAAACTGGTCCTTGGCTCCAGATCAGGGTCGCAGGCTATTGAGTTGCCCAGGGTCCCACGGCTATGGTACATAGACGCTTGCTGGCTCATGTCTCAAGCCAGCAGACATTGCATAGAGTGCGCATAGCACAGCGCGGTTTCGCAGTCCTCAGCATGCCCGCCCAATAGCCAGACCTGCCGAAAAAGTTAGATTGTGGTCCGGGTCCAAGACTCGTGCAGACCGGACGTTTCATATTCACTCGGCACACCGTTAGAGAGGCCATGGCGCCAATCAGCGCAGAGCAGCCCCCTGCACATTTGTTCCAGGCGGCTCCCCCCTTGGCACCTTGCTCGATTCCAAGATCCCCATAAGTGGAGACGACTGGGTTCAGTCAAACCGACAGCGTCTGGGAGACTGACAGCTTCGCAGAAAAAAGGATGGGCCGAGGGCGCGAGGCGCTGCTAGTTTGACCGATAGTCTCGGTTTCAAAGAGGGACGAAGACACTAGAGAACAGCTCTAAGAGCGACGAGAAGGGCCCTGGAAAGATGCATGCAGTTTTCGTGTCGAGCTGAGCAGAAATCTCGCTCCTGGCAGGGTCCGAGGCTCCCTCATCAATTCATTACGAAGGAGGTACATCGTAACCTGATGAGCTCCTGCCTCCTTCTCGGCTCCTCTGATCCCGCTCCTACTCTGGGCAAGTTTTACATTGCTTAGTAACATGGACGCTAATCAGGGTCTGCTACCCTCAAAGGCAAGTGGGCAGATGCTAGAGTCTCGGCACGCAGGTACAATGGCCCCACCAGTACCCGCTGTCCACTGACGACCTTCCATTACTCGCATGCCTTCCCTTCCCTCACACACAGGAATGGTGCAAGACGCTGACGACAGCCTCCACGCAATCGGCTGCCTTTGTTGGTAGGTCTAAATATCTACCCGCCCTCCATAGTGCTATATATAAAACCTGCAGGAGGTAGATCCCGTCACCAACACCGGACCACCCGAGAATAGAGACACTTACTCGTAGCTCATCCTCCTTCCCTCCAGAGCGCCAGCAATGACTCGCCACATGGACTTGTAGAAGATGACGGTGCAAATTCACCGCCATCAGCCATGACACCATCACGCACCCTCAGCTCCCAGTGGCTTTTTTTCAGCTTCCCTCAGCTCATGCGATCTGCAATGTACGTAAACGACGTGAAACCAATAACCGCCTCGCTAGCGCCCTTTCCCAAACCCGATGTCTCGGCCAGGGCCAACTGCCCTCCATGCCGATCTCCCAGCCAGAGCGTCGCAGCTGTGCGAAATCGAGAGACAGGGGCATCTGGAGATCTGCATGCGTATCATGTATGTATGTATGTAAGTCAGTGATTATGTATTATTAGAGGGGAATAGACCCGGCAAAAAGCAATTCTTGTTTATGCACCCCCGTCTCCCATCATACCTTGAACTGCAATTGGACGAGCAAGATCAAGCCATGAATTTCGAGGCTGAGGTCCTCTCCCTTTTCGTCTTCGAAATATTCGTATGTTCCTCCCAGATAGACCAATCAGTACGGCGGATAGTTGAGAAAATATATTGAGAAAAAGAAAACTTCGAGATTGTCACTAAGAATCTTGTTTATGCGATGGGTTAAGATAGAAACTACCTAGGTAAGTATATCAATGGTATAAGGAGAAGAGAAGAGCCCAAAAAGGGACTTTCGATCCCCAGCCAACAACTTCTCGATGCATGCACCCATACGAAGTCACACAAACATGCACCCGCCCGCAAACAAACCACACACGCACATGTATAATTTATATTATTAAAAATACACACAATTAAGTCCGAGTCTCATGTGGCCGTTTCCTATCAGCAATCATGCCGTGTTAGTCTCGTCAAATCAAACAATCAGCTCGCCGCCCGAGTCATTGAATCTGTGGCAACCAGCCAATGTCCTTTCCTATCCCGCCCATAATACACACCCAAAACGTGGCAAAATACAGCAACAAAAAAAAACACAACGGGTATAACGCAAACAATGCCAGACTGTGTCAAGTAACACTCCGAATGCCAAAAACGCCGATATTTCCTCCAATTTCCTTCCCCCCAATCTCAATGGTTCCGAATTGACTGAAAACGGTCTAGATAACCCGTGACATATATAGGCCGACTCGTTTCTCTTTCTTTTTCATATACCAGTGTCTCGTCAAGGTGCGTCCGGCACGGGTGTCCTTGCTCTATCGCCCAATGGAGTGGGACTGCGTCTCAAGGGTTCAATGTGCTGTGGCTCCTTGAGAGTGTTTGGCTTCTGGCCTGCAGGAAGACGCACGCTACCATGCGTGCCCCGAACGATATGGCCTGTCTCGACCCCATCTTGAATCATTTCGTCCAACATTCTGTTCATTTCATCAACACTCCTTCTTGGTTTCCGCTCTATTTTGACCACGGGAAAGTCGGGTATTCCCTCTTGCGAGACGGGCGACCGAGGCTCGGAGAGAGCTTCAGCAGTGTCGCGTGACCGAGCTGCACTACGAAGCGCTGCCAACATGCGATCCTTATCGTCCAGTCGTGCCCGGAGATCAGCAATTTCTGCATCCTTCTCTTTGAGAACAGCAGAAACGCTGTGGTCTTCTCCAACCATTATCCCCTTGGTCGTTGCGCCGATCCCAACCGAAGTACGTGACGTGCTAGCCCTACGAGCTTGAAGTAGTCGTTTCTCCAGTGTTGCAATATATCGGTTCTTGTCGACCAGATCCGCTTGGAGAGCCCGATTCTGGGCATTTAGCGATGCATTTCCATCTCCGAACTCGCCCATACTTTCTTCCTCCGTCGAGTTGGTTTCTGTGCCTTCTCCCGATAACCGAGGAGAAACCTTGGCACCTCCAGCGCTCGATCGTCGGCCAACAGTTGATGATGCAGAGGTCATGGAGGACGACCGCTCCAGGAATAGCTTACTTCCGTTGGAGGTTGTAACTGACGAGCGAATAGACCCAGGTAAGGAAACTTGAGAGTATCGTCCATAATGACCCAGGGCACTCAAAGATCCATTTGAATTTACTCCAATAGACTTGGAGCTGAGAATCAACCGGTTGAGATGATCGATTCGCTCCTTCAACGCAGTCCTGGCGAGTTGCATTTCCAAAATCTGCTCCTCGTGACGCTCGGCAGCTTGGTGTTCTCGTACCTTCTCGTCCTTTTCTTCAATCTCTATTTCATCGCTCTTCTTCTTTTTCTTGTCCTTGGCCTGAGAGTCGAGTTGGCCACGGAGCTCTTGGATCTCCATCCGGTAACGCTCCAATAACACTCGAGCACCACCATCGCCCCCTGCTCCAAATGACTCCTCTGCCCGCTTCGCATGGCTCACGATGCTGTTTTTGGCCCTGGACGCGAATTTCATAGTGTTCAGCGTCTCGGCGGTGTGGGTATTAACAGCTGCAGCGGTACCTGAAGCACCAATCTGAATGGTACAAAGAATGCTGACAAGAGAATTGCCAGACAGCGCGCCCTGAAGAAGACGTGTCAACTTGCTGTTACGATATGGCAGATGCTTCCCCTCTTTATCGATACCCTTGCCCTCCTTCGATTCTGAAAGTTTTGAAATAACAGTTCCCAAGGTCAGTAAACTTTTGTTGATGTGTGCACCCTCCTGTCTTCGTTCCTTGGATTCTGCAGCCTTCTCAGAGCCAGCCAAATCAATCAGGCTAAGAGTAGATACTCTCACACCTCCAGGAGCGATTCCCGAGCGTTTGTTTGTCTCGGCTCCAGGAGGTCCTCCTGGCATTCGCTCTCGGCTCTCGACCACAATTTGAACGACAGCATGACTTCGAGAACTTCGCGCGTTGAATTGTGTGCTCGCGGTTCGACGAGCTTGATCTCCACGCGCGATGACTCTAAGCAGCTGGGTAGGACTCTGCACAATTTCTTCCTTCAGAGGCGTTGCATATACGCCTCTTTTGCTGTCCTCTCGCAACTTGATTTCCTCCTGCTGGACAGCGCCGCCAACTGAGCTCGCCGTGGGCATGCTCAGCAAATCGTGAATCTTCTCGTTGTAAATTTCCAGATAGCTGACTCGAAGCAAAAACTCGCGGGATGGGGTTTCACGGATGTATGAGAAAATGTCGGTGATAGCCAACGGGATGACACCAGGGGATGAAGCAGTTCCCTGCATCGAGAAGGTTTTTCCTGTTCCTGTCATACCGTACGCGAATACCGTGCCGTGATATCCCTCCATCACCCTACGAACTAATCGTTTCGCACAATGATCGTACACACGAGAGTTGTTGTCGTGAGTTGTGAAAACATTGTCTACAAGCCCCATGAGGCCGAATCGTCAGCATTCTCAGTTCGCCCTTCCCAAAGAATCATGAACTAACCGTAAAAGTAATTTCCGCCTTCTTTTCCCTTATACGAAATCAATGATCGGCGGCCATCCACCATCCACTCGCCCTCAGGGCTTCCGTGGTCTGCATTCGTCGAGGGCCTCACTCTGACGCTCACCAAGACGTTGCCTTTGCCATCATGCTTGCCTGCCGACTTATCGCCTGCGGCCCCGTCTGTTTTAGATGCTGAACTGTCGCCAGGTTCGTCGTATGTGGTCGCGGATGTAGAATAAGAGTCCTGTGCCGACGAACTTCTGCTCTGTGGCTCTGAAATAACGCTAACTAGTCCATCCGACATGCGAACGCTGGTAATTGACTTTCCTTCGGCACTACCATTAAGGAAACTCGGGGTAGACGCATCAAAGTTACGCATCGACTCCCTAGGGGCCTTTGATTTTCGAGAAGATCGAGGCCTGTCGCCTGCCCGCGGACTAGGCGGTAGACTGGATCCAGACCTGTTGTCGCCCCTGGGAGGGTGGGGGAAGGAGTTGATGCTCACAGCCTTGCGCAGTGTCTTTGAGGCCGTCGCATTCGCAATCGCGGTGACCCTCGGTTGAGGTAGTGCCGGTACCGGCGACGGGCTTGAAGGTTGGACAAGATGCGATGCTGAAGGAGCCCGAAGACCGCTAATAGGGGTGCTTGGTGCGGATCTAGGCGTGGGAATATTGCCGGTGCTCTTTCGGGATTTCGAAATAGGCAGCGCTGGGAGGGCCATATTTGGCGGTCCGATCGAGGGCCGCGATGGCCTTGGGAGTGCAGTCGTCATGGTTGCTTGGCCGAGTCGTGGAAGCGATCGCTTGGGATTTAAAGGCGCGCGCTCAGGGGACGCCTGATACTGAACGCTGTCCGGCCGGCAAGAAAAGGCTGCACCCAGAAGGCGTCTGCCATGAACTGGAACAGGTGTCGGCAGTCTCTCTCAAATATTATTCCAGTGTGTGATTGATTTCCCCCGTTCTCACCCCCTGGCCTCTGTAATGATGAGTGTTGGCCTGGAATAGCGAGCGGACCAGTTAGTCAAGAACCGGGCGTGGGGAAACGAACGACCATCGGAATTGGGGGGAATGTGAAGTCGCGTCGGGGAGCGGATACTGAAGTAGTATAAGCCGATGAGGATAATCGTCGCTAACGTACCGAATCTCGAGTCAAGATGGTGAGAAATGCCAAGGGACTCTTGTGCAAGTGAAAACAACCCCGGATGCTAGAACAGCCCCTTGGGACGGCAGAAAGCGAGTTGGTGTCGACGATAGCACCAGGCACTAGTGGCGCCGCTGGTGGTTGCTTTTTCCTCGTCTTGTTCTCTTCCGGAGTGCCTTAGTGGTTGCAGCTATCATTTAGTGTTGGAACAGACACGCGCCCTTGCACACTTGACTAGTGTTTCTCCTCCTGCGTGTCTCGAAATCGAAGGGGACGGGATTGTGGAAACTGAAAAAAGGATGTTCTCTACGACGGTGTCAGGAAGGCCCGAGACGACGTGCATTGCCTCATGCCCCGATTCAATCAATGCAAGTCGAGAGGGGCAATTGTGTTGTACCGATGGCGATTCGTGACCCGCTGACAACACCTCAATCGACACTTGGCACCTCGAATGCGAGAATTCCTGGATTAGTTGTGTATTGGGGATAAAAAAAGAAGAAGCATTAAAAGGGAAACCCGAGACAAAGTGAAACTTGCAGTGATCCGAACTGCGGCGCTCCCTACAACGAATGAGTGGGAGGTAGAGAGATGGTAGAAAAGGAGATGGAAGTTGGGAGGCTGGCGCAGGCTCATCGACCCATGATCTACGCACCCGATGACGCTTGGGCGCTCTCCAGATCAGTCCAGTAGTGGACGGGAGGCCAAGAATTAGGTGCCTCTAGCTGTCATCCAGCCTGCTGCCAGGCCTAATTGCGTTCCCTAGGCCGGTCGAGCGCCGGTGGCCCCAAACCCTTTAGCGGAAGGAGGACACCTGATTGACTGAGGAGCACGCCTCGAGGTGCCTCGACTCCCCACCGAGCGATGGGACCTTCACTGAGATGTCACTGGGGGGGTAATTACCAGCGGTAATTACGATATGCAGGCCCGGCGCACCTCCTTTGTGCCGCTGGGCCAACTAGAGATGGCACTAATCGCTATTGCCGTCGAAGGATCCCCGGCATGGAGAGACAGCCCAGGGACGACGGGGCTTTCTTGTCGTCCCAGAGCAACGGATGACAGTCCCTTGGGTCGAGACTCTACAGGCATCTACTGGAGCGAACGAGAGGCCAGGGAAGATGCGACAGAATCATTGTTTTGCCATCCCTTGACCATACGCAGATCTCTCGCTGTGCATACATACTCATCAGATCCAGGGTTCATTCATAACAATCAATTACGGCAAGGGCAACTGTGAACCTGTCACTTCCTTATCCAGCCAAGATCATTATACAGTCCCCGGGCAGGAAAGGGTACCGGCAAGGTATGTACCAGAGGGTCTTATTATATTAGGGGTCCCAAATACATGTTAGGCATTTTGGTGTGGATTTCGCCATGGATCACTTACATATACCTGGACCCAGGTAGCACAGAGCAGACACCACCACTGCGGAATTAGGAGGTCGTAGCGCTAGGTTCAAAGCAACATATGGGGAAGCAAGTGCGCGCTATGATCGAAGAGGGGGGGATAGGAGCAACCGCTGTGGAGTTCTTTGTGAACTCTACCACAAACCAGGGACTAGCCTGCGGGAGCTCAGGGTCAATTGCTCGGAATGATTAGCAAAATCAGGTACAAGGTTTATTTTCGAGTAATTTATCTCACTACCCTCTAAACTCAAATTTTATATAGATAGGTAGAGACTCTCGCCGATTTTATGCTGCCATCACTGTCTCGTCGGTCGTAGCCACGTGGATGGTGGTCCTGTCGGGCTCTCACTGCTGAGATGCCCGACAATTGTCTCGGTCATCGGCGCTGTGTCAAGTCAGATGCTGATATCGAAGATGGTGAAATCTGGGCGCCCAACTCCGTGCCAACATAGCCCGCGTCCTCGGCACGGAAGAGGATGCAGTAGGTACGTATATGCCCCAATCATGCATTCGAGTAACTGAAGAATCAGCCAACGATAGCCCTTTCCTGGGGTCTGGCCGGTGAAGAAGGAGCAGCGCACGCGTTACGATAGGTGCTAGCCTCTGGTTCGACAGGGGAAGTGCTATGCCAACCAACGGCAAGGGCCATCCAAGCGCTCTCCTGCCAATGGTGCCCTCCTTCTACTTTGCACCTCGTACTTTCATCACCACATGCCATGCACAAGACCACATCAGTATCCATTTGCCATTGTCCAGTACATGCCGTCTTCGTACCGTACATGTCTGAGTGGTGGGGAAGGACCCTCGTAATAACACATGATAGGCCGGGGAGGTGTAAAATCGCACCTACCGACATGGATGTCCAGGCCAGCCCAAAGCCATGTTTTCTTTTTCGTCTCCCTCGTGGACGCTAATTACTCCAACAGTCTTGTTTCACCTGCCTGTCAGCCACGCCACTGAACCGCCCAAAGCCAACCAGCAGCCCGACTTTCAAATGAGGGAGGAGAAAAGCTGATCAACCCCGCCTTGGACCGTTGAATCCGACGGCGAGTGAAAGTGTAGGGTGCTATCTTCTCCCTCGCGTTTCCCATCAAGCCCATGTATCATTAATTAGTTCGTCAAGGGGCCGGGGTCTTAGCTTCCAGGACCAAGGATCAGGTCCCCACGAATCGACAAGGTGATGTCCGGAACGGACTTCGCTCGCTTACACTTTTTTTCCCATCCTTCACGTCACAGCGAGATGGCCTGTGCAGCAGATGTGACAATGAAAACCATTGGTCCAATTTAACACGACCCTGTCCCGGGTGGGAAGTACGGCCGTGCATGCCCAAGCTAAACCCCCACGATTGTCGTCGCCCATTAATTATTTCGTTTGGTTTTTTTCTGACCTGACCTGCGTACTTAGATACGACGATAAGGCGAGATACATTGAGAATCATGCAGCCTGGCATGCCCTCGGTGTTCCAGCATATGCATATGTATTTTATGCATCAAGGCCAGCAGTGCCTATGCCGGGCTTCGGATGTGAGCTCGTCCCGGATTTTGCCATAAACCAGACAGCGAAAGGGCAGCATGCACAATGAGGGGAAAGGTCTATGCTACTCTCTGCTACGTATGTTTAAGAGTTATGCTCAAGGTGGCTATAGGCCCTGGGTCCACCTTGTCACCTCGGAGCAGGCTTCTTAGTATTCTTCTGCTATCGATACCACATCCGATGATGATGTCAATTGCTCCATCAGCATCCCGTCTTCTTGTCGAAGCCAGCTAAGGATGCTGATGCTGATGCAGCGACTGGAGACGCAAGGTTAAGCTTGTGAAACCGCTAGCACCATTGCTAACTCTAACAAAGCATAGAAATACCAGTGTTTTGAAAGGGTGTTCTAGTAGGCAAAGCATCCTTCAACATCTGTCTCATGGCACGCCGTAAGTAGAGTAAGTCTGGACTGCCTAGATTCCATGTTGAACAGTGATCTAATTTAAACATCGCTATCTATTCAGAAGTACTTATTCCGAACTTCTATGTGCAATATTTAGCCAGTCTTCCATCAAACATACAGTCAGGTTCAACCTTGCCTTGATAAAACCGTCGACAACTTAAACAACTCTGCTCGCCGTGGCGAGTTCCATTGGCATTCGCATTAACCCAGCAAAGCCACAAGAATAGAACTTCCAGCATCTTAACCAAAAGTCTCAGTGACCACAACTTCAGTATAGGAGCCGCGGTATTGCTCTTCAGATCAGTAGTCCTTATCCAATTCATTCGGCATACAGTTTCACAAGTCTGCCAACTAATCAACCCAAAGCTCTCACACCTCGCCCTACGGTTCCAGTCTTGAATATCTCCACCGCACCCAAACCGACGGCTTCACCTAGTACCCATTCCCATTCTACGCCCCAGAAGTCTTTCCACCGCGGCCCGTATAGACCTCCTCCTTCAAACCGCTCCTTGAGCCAACTCTCCGGGCACTCCCCCCATCGTGTCCGCCCCAAAGCCTCCCGTACCCATTCTACACAAGCCGAGGCCAGCTTCAAGTGCCGCCCATGGCCCGGAATCGCCAGTTTCAGCTCGTGTAAGAGCGACGAGGATGAATAGGATGACGGCGTTCGTGACAGTGCCATGCCGCCGCTTCCTCCTCCCGAGAGATGGATAGCGTTGTGACCCCCAACCGCATATACACTACCTGATGCGTGACGGGACACATGATCGATGGACACAAGCGTCGTTCGCTCCTCCGGCCGCATGTTCAACCGGCTGCTGGGGTCGGCATGCGCGAAACTAGTCAGGAACCCGGCTCGGATGAGTTCGTCTGCCTGGCCATCCGTCAAGGTATCACGGGGCAGCTGCTGCACAGTAGGATTAGCCTTCAGGAACTCGGTGAAGGTCCTCTTCGTCTCGGGCGACACGCCATCGGTGCCGAGGAGCAACCTCTCCAGCTCTGGGGTCTCCATCAGCCCCTCGCCCTGCCCGCCCCGTCTCTCGATGCGGACTTTTCGAATGACCCCTCTGTGCTGAAGCTCGACGGCCTCCCGCTCCACCCTCGTGGGGTTGTTGCTGAGGATGGCGTTGAGGTGCCCCATAGTGACTATCGGCGGCATGGACGCCCTGAACGTGTGCAGCTCCGACGTCCGCGTCGAGCTGAATCCTTTCTCGGGCACGGGGGTGAACATCCTGGAGCGGATGTACCGCATGGCCTGTACCACGTCTCTGAGCGTCAGCTCGTCCGCCAG